GATTTCTAAGATTTTGTACAGTGTTTTATTAATTTAAGATCTAGTAATTGTCAAAATTTCAATGCTTTGTCATTGTTTTTATGTAAGGGTTCATACAACCTTAAGTACGTATTGCGTACCAATTTCCATTTGCCTTTAACTCATACTTGCATAACTACAGTGATAACGAGGAACTAATAATAGAGAGCCAAAGAGCGCGGAATCAATCGAAGCTGTTTCCGGAGATCGATGTGCCCGGAGGAGTCGCGACTCTTTCTTCGTTTCTGTGTCAATTTTACCAGTTTCCGATGACGATTACCTTTGCCACTGCGATTTTCCACGGTGCACAAAGAACGAACAGCAGAAAGATACAGATGATGGTAGCACGGCGTAAAATGTAACAAACAGATAGGTACGTGGAAGGACGTTATTTGATTTTCTACAGACATTCCACCATTTTTGTTCAATAGAAAAGGTTGTTGAATAAGAGGAGGTTCCTCGATTGAGGTTGAAAATTGACGCGCATCTCCTGATATTATAGGATTGCGGAAAATTTAAGTGGATAAAAGGTAAATATCCGTTTCTCATCCGGATCAACTCGTGCCTCAATATTTGTGCTTTCGATAGCTTCCCTCTCTGCTTGAGGTATTTTTCTAGCGAATGAGTAAATAATAAATACGCTTCTGATACCGCGATTTTCCGTATCGAGTACGCGAGAAGTAGATGGTTAAAGAAGAAGCAGCTAAAACAATACTAAATCTATGTATTAGAATATTAGAAATTATGCGTTAAAAATTCCTTATAACCAAGGAAAACAAGTGGAACAATTTTAGAAACCCCACCCCTCTGTAATTATTATTTTTTTTTTAAATTCAGTGCTCCAGATATTGGACACAGCTTTTTATTACCTGTTTTAAAGCTTTAGCAGAGATTTTACGGTTCATACAACTCAACCTTAATAATCCTACCAGATTCTAATGTTCATGTTACATTACATAATTCTGCACTTGCGTTGCATCGTTACTAAGGGATTAGCGAAATATTCACTCTCGTTAATTTAGCTCTTTCGAGGAAGTACTCATGTGTCGTTGTGTATTCGAAACACGTTCTCAGAATTGAGAAGCAAAGTCCTCGTCCATGGAAACCGCGCTTCAAAGAACCGTTGTCTGCCGAAAACGATTCAATCCGGTGGCGTGGGTCGAAACAAAAAACGGTTCTTTTGTGGGGAACACATCAAAGCGCTCGCGACTAACAGCTTTGCGAAGCCCGGCCGCGTCCCGTTTGAAATTCTTCCCGCGGCGCGTCCGGGGCCTAGATATGACAATAACGTTTCCCGAGCGCGGGATATCGAATCGGGACGTCATCTCGTCGCGTCGTCACGAACCGGCGCGCGGAGCTGCAACGGTAATCGTCGCTCGTCGACTTTTCTTTCATCCGTCAAAAGATGGAAGATATTTATTGCGCCGAACAGATCAAAATTCCGCCAACGTTCCCGCACATTTTGAAGGTGTACGCGAAGGCTGCCATTCGCACGCAACCCTACGATCTTCTGCAATGGACCTGCGCTTACTTTCGTGCCCTGGCCAACTGCGAAGTACCGCCTGTGAAAGTAAACGCCCACCCCCTAACCTTTTTCCGATTTTTATTACATTTTGATTCATTTCCTCTATGAAAATTGAACAGTCTATATTAATAATCCTCAAGCTCAAAAAGTTTTGTCTTTAGATACTCGGTAAGAAATTCTTGGCTTGAAAGCTTGTGACGTAGATAATTTCTTCAGAGAGAGAATGCAAAGGATAATATAATACTTTAATGGAATAGAAAGAGAGATGACGTCGATATAAAAGAGACGCGTGTAGAAAATTCACACGGTGTGCACAATCTTATCGACTTGTTTCGACGGAGAGTCAAACGCAGCTGCATGCAAAGCTGACGTGTCTTATGTCTTCTCCGCATCCCCATTATCTTACAAAGGGTTGATTAAAATCAGCGTCAACGGACGTTCTTTCTTCTCGTCGGTCGAGTGCGTTGTTAAGCGTAATCTCTCTCGTTGCTTCCATTGTACGTTTTATTATATTTTATCCCGTTGATACCTAATTAAGTGGATAGATAAGTAAATCAAATCGGCGATAATTATTTGAAACAAGTTAAAGGCTAAAGGCAAACCGGTGTTGAATGTACGACTGTGAGCTTGAAGAGTTGAACTTACAAATCGTATTAATTTGTCTTCGTAATAATTCAGTGCCAGAGTTTCAATTGAAAACTGGAGCCGGAAATGTATTATGATGCTCGATGCGTATTTTGAAACATTTAATTGGTTACTTTCGTCTTGATGGATGAATGGTGCGGCTCGTTTAATCAGCCCAGGAAACGTTGCATCAGTCGCTGCCAGATTTTCGGGCGCAATTAAGAATTTCACAGCCAGACGCAATCAATTTCTATCGCTTCCCAGGCACACCGTACCGTCCCAGGGTAACCGGCTTGAAAGATTCGACCGCAAAACGGTTCGGTTAATGGTCCAGCGCTAGGTGAAATCGATTAACTCAGTTAATCGAACCGATAGCTATAAATTAATTCGTTCGATCAGTACGCCGGTCGGTTTATTGGCCATTCGAGTTCCTTCTCGTTCTCCCACGTCCTCTATCGCCGGGATTTTTCTCTTTGAACGTTGATACATTATGGACAACGTCCGTGACCGGACGCGAATAGTATCAAGCCATGGGACTCGAGCCTTGAACTATCGAATTCTCCTATTTTCCTAGTTGCTCTCCCAGGATCTTTCGTTCCGCGCGATAGCAACCTCGGCTCGACGTTAAAACGACGTCCGTGACCTGATACAATACTCGAAGGATTACGCCCGACGCGCCAGTCGAGACTGATATTTTTACATGCGTCGCTTCTATATCCAGATTCTCGTCTCTCTTCCTCTTCCTTTCGATTCGTGTTATTTTTATAAACAAACAAGTGATTCTTAAATTGTTGCGAATAAGGACAAAGTTAAGATACGTTTTATTAAGGATGTATTGGCTATACAGTCAGTCCCAAAAATTTATGTACCTTAGAAAAACGCATTTCCTATAATTAAAAAGAAATCAGACGTTGGAAGAACAATGATTTNATGCTCATATTACTAAATATCAGCATATTCTGATTAAATAATGATCAGAGCATATCAGATTTAACTTTCTTCTTTTTAAAAATGTACCTGACGACTGGAAAATATTTTCATATAAAAACCAAAAGTCTAATCCATATTTCGCACTATTTTTGTCTGGTAATCGATAAAACAGAGCAAAAAATGTCAAAATTTGACTGACGCGTGTTAGAAAAGTCACATGAATACCCTAGCCCTTTAATAGTTGAATGTATTCGTATCTAACTATAAATCGTATTTCTAATTTTGCAATCGAACACTCAATTCTTATAAATGAAATGTTTCGTTGCTCACTTCGTTGTTGGTAATGTACGTAAGTACGTTTACGTCGAATCTGATAGCATCGGTCATAGGTGAGTGACACGACGTCGCTTAGAGCTAAAAGCGTCGGCCGCTGTTGCACGCGGTCAGCGTTAAAAGAAAATTTTTCGATCGGTCGCGTTTATTTCTGAAATACTTACTGTGTTGCGAGTTGCACGCGATCCTCTGTTATATTATCGGCCTGCGAACCCACGCCCTTTCTTCTTTCGCCCGCGCAAAGAGAATCGACCTGTCGTCGCACCCTCTGTTTAAAACCGTACGATTAGCTACTGTTATAGAACGTGTTTGCAAACGATTGAGCCATATGGCACGTACGCTGATCGCCCCTCCCCGACATTTTCTTAGGAAAGATTAGAATATCCCCCGTTCAGCCATCCTTCGGGTATCACTCCTGGTTACCTGAAGACCCTCTTGAACGTTTTCGGGCACGTGGAGGCAGTGTGCGTGAAAGATATGCTGGAAAGATGGCAGGGAATCGCGTTGCCTGAAACGACCTTCTTTCGTATCCTGTTGGCGGGCAGATTTTTCCCCGAGGGAGAGTGCCACTTTTACAAATTCCTCGCGGTTTCTTGCGGGTTCCTGGGCAAGGTAAGTCGTCTACCCTGAAAATAGGAGACACCCTCGCAATATTCCTGCGCGAAACACCTAAAATAGAGCCTGCCCATAAAATTCCCTCGTGTGTCCCCGAGTTCGTCGACGATGTTTATCGCGTTCTGGCTATGATATTTTTAGATAGCTTGTTAATCGATTTCGGTACACCCTTGGACCGTCGCGTTAACCGTGACTGATGAAGGTCGTGCATTTTATATCGCGTGGGCGATGTGCAAACCGTAAGCATAAATAGAGGCATTTTTTACGTGGTCGTTCACGAACAATTGGGATGAGGACAGTTTCGCGCCGTCTCGTTTACTACCGTAAAATATTACTCTACCGACCTGTAAAAAACAATTCGATCGCGAACGTAACAGATGGAAACAGCCGATCTTTGTTCGGGATCACGGGGGAAATGTATTCATTGGGTTTAGTTTACAGCGTGGCTATTTCACGGAGACAAAACATTCTCTTAAGTGATTTTTTATTTTTTACTCGTCATTCGGGGAGGGGTGAACACGTTTCTTGCCTGTGGGTGCAAATCGCGTCGTTGCGTTAGCATTCGGCCGGAGATAGATAACGCTCTGTATAGGATGTATTTAACTCACGTGGTTTAATACGAATCGATGAATCATCGTTACCGGTTTGAATTAAATTAATCACCCGGCCATTGTTATGCTGGCTACAATTTCGCGCCCGATTCACATTCACTACGTGCACACCCTTTGTGGCCTCTGCTTGCCCAGAGCCTGTTCGAAACGATGATATACGTGTGCGAATTGCTGACGGAGGAGCCGGAAGGCGGATCCGCGATGATACCTCTACCGACGTTCATCTGTCTGTACGAATTTCTGGCGAAGCTCGATTGCAGCGGCGCATGTCCCTGCGTGATAACTGAAGAAGACGCGAAGGAGCTTTTTCGTCCCAGCGGACTGACCAGCAGCGAGGAGTCCAGCACGCTCGACTCCAGATTATACTTGGTACCGTCCGAGGTGGAAGAGGTACTTAGTCACTCCCGTTTCACGTGTCTAAATCAATATTCGTAACGTTGGCCCGATTTTACTTGACAAGGAAAACGTGCCCGCACGTAAAACGTAGACGAAAACGCACGTAGAGAAAAACGCACTTGAATTTATTCCTTTGGAGCTTATTATTGTACAGGGAAAGTTATTCGTTCTGACGTATCTTCAAAAGCATTAAATTTGTTAAAATATTAAATCCTATTCCGGGTATAAATTTCATTCCTTTGAAGTCGCAAAGGAAGATACTGAATTCTGTTGAACGACTACAGCCAGTATTAATTTAATGCGTATATAATGAGCAACTACGTATTCCATTAATAGTAGTACAATTAGTATCGAATTTGAATTCGAAGTGAATCTGTATTATAATTTATTGTTCGGGCCATTGTTATCTACATATTCCAATGTTGTACACGGCCACTGATTACTTCCGTGAAAGAGTGAACATTTATTATTAATAATCCACGTTCTCTGGTCTGGTTACGTATTTAACAGAGAACAAAAGTATATATTCGGCTCAGGCCTGGACAATCCAGCTTAAATATCGTTGACCGTGGCTTTGGTGTATTGCATGTATTCTTGAAATTATTTTTCGGACAATTTTGGGTTGGTCCGCGATTAATGAGTCGGAAAATGTTCACGAGAAAAAACATAATCCGCGTTTCAAGTGCTCTCATCCCTGGCGATGACCAAATATAATTTCGTTAATAACGCACCGATGCAAATGGAATCGGCGCGCAATCGAAACGGGGCTGTGGAAATAATTACTTGATGCGTCGATGCCCTCGTTTCAAACCGCGCACCGCGCAGCCCGCCGCGTCGTAAACGACGAGTTGAGTCATGCAAATTTACAGAATCCCGTTTCGATTGTAGCATACTTTAGCAGCGTGACCGAACCTCGATTTAGCGGCGAGATCGTACGGTCAATGTAACCGGGAATCGATTGAACACGAGCCGGGCAGAGGTGTTGGTCCGGGCCAATTAATGCCTCTGCCATAGATGTTTTCTCCTCGCCGTGTTGCGTCGCCGCGTTTCACTCAAATGAAACACGTCGAGTCTTCTTTTAATCGAACACTCGTCAGGAAGAAGAGGCTGCAGCGGTGGATGTTTGCGCGTTCACTTCCAGCGAAAGCCGATCGACCGATAGCATACGAGTTTTGGAAGATCAGGGTACCGAAGAGAGGCGGTCCGAGGCGATAGCTGACGAAGTTCACAAGCCCACACCCTCGCAGAGGGATGTGAGCGATGTCCAGTCCTCGGAACAAATACAAAAGGACGAACAGGTTCGTAAACGAACGAGACCTGTACTTCGTTAAACTGATATTTATTTCTGAAGACTGGCGATTTCGCATGAAAATATATCGCGTTGTAAAATTAGAATTATTAAAGATTAGTTGAAATTTTTACTACACGCGAGATAAAATAGCTAAAAAAACGGCACTCATAATTTTTTTAGTAGCGCGTAAAATATATCCGAGCTGTCCAGCTTCGTTGAGTTTAATCATACTGCGATAATAAATATTAAACCATCTCGGATCGTATACTTGACTTTCCGGGTTTAGACGAATCGCGGTTGAAAAACCATGGAACTCTAATTTCAACCGGTACGATTTTGCTGTTTGCTCATCGTTCGTTAAACGTTATGATTTTTTCTCGTCACCGTAGCAAATATTAATCTACGAATAGTATCCTCGAAAAATGAATCGTACGATGATTTCTACTGTACGAAACGTAAAATAATTTCATCCAGTTCGAGGGTGACGTACAGAAGATCGAGGAACACGACTCGGATCAGCTGTCACCCGACCACCGATCTACCATCCCAGATTTTGATTTCCTCGACGCCGATTCGAACGATTTCGACAAGGATTCATACATGTATTACGGCGGTGAAGAAAGCGAGAAGGAGATGGTGGCTTACGAGGAAATCGATGACTACCAGCCCATCGGGCTTGAAAGCATCCTTCAAGGTATTTGCGAGTGTCTGGAGCCGGTTCGCGAATCGGAAAGCGTCTCGACGCCTCCGCCGCCAGACCCTTTCGAGGAGTTTTTGAAGAGAATGAAACAGGAAGTAGAGGAAGGACGTCTGGATACGCGGTTTCAAGTGCTCGGAATTGGTCCACCGGTCTCGGCAAATCGCATTACAGCCGTGGCGCTGTGGCTGGCAGATTGCGCTCGTCGTCAGGACGGTCTAGTTGGCCCACGAAATATCAGACACTTCCTTTGTCCGGAACTCGAAGATCGTATCAACGATGCCTATGCGGATTGAATACATAAGATATCACCCAATCCTCGCGATTCTATATTATACTACTCTCAATACAACTCACACGATATTCCAAATAAACCGTATCCATCATTGTAGTAGCATAATCGATTTTCTTATTGGAGGGAATGTGACGTAGAGAGACACGTGTTGCTAAGATCTATTTACCCGTCAGAAGTTTCACTTTTACTCATCTTGAAAGATTCTCATACTACTTTGGAATCTTTACGTTGAAACTTGCCACGTACACGACGACGGTTGCAAACTTTTGACCGGTGCGTGTGCGAATCGTGCACGACCACCCGTAAACCATTGACACGTTTCGGCTATGCACTCGTTTTACACACGTTTCGTGCCTTGCAGAGAAGTAATTAACCAAAACACGGGATGCACGTGAGCACGCACGCCATATATCTTTTAAGTTCGCCACGTAAATTACGTCGACGTGTAGTTAAATGTATGCGCAGTTCTAAGGTGGCTTTTTTTTTTTATTTCGGATTCCTGTTAGCGGGGGTATTCGTTTGAATTCGACGTGTCGTTCGCCTGATTCCAGGCACGTTCTTCCGCGTTACGAATTTTATCTAGCGATTATCGGTCGTTCGGCGGAAGGACGCCGTGCAATTGTAACGATTAGGTGCAACGAAACTAGGTCGAAATGGGGGGCGGTTTTTCATATAAGCTCGAGGAACAACGGGGACCGTTCACGTTCCTAGAACACAAACGGAAGGAACCGTTTTGCGCTCTCAAGAGGCAACCGTTTATAGTCTTTTTGGTCTCGCTTCGCCATCTTTCTTGGCTGCCATTTTGCGTGTACGATGAACGTCCTGAGCTCGTACGTTCTCGCTCTTTGCCTCTTTATTCGCGTCTCCGTTCACGTTCACGCATGGACGATCTCCTATAGAGACGACATTGACAATGAAGTCGACCGAGAGGAGCTGGAACGAATGCAGTTGATATTCCCAGGTAAGCAACAGCAGCGGTGGTTGCGACCTGAAAAGCGAAACGAAAGGGGAGAGGGACACGAATGCGTACAATAGAGATTCCGATGCCATCGATACGCGGGTTATTCATAACGAGCTTCCTACGTTTTCTTAAACTTCCTTCCGGCAGGGACGAAATGGTGCGGAAGTGGTAACAACGCGGAGGGTCCACAGGACCTCGGAAAATTTAAGCAAACCGATGCGTGCTGCCGAGATCACGACATGTGCTCAGACATAATCGAGGCCGGACAGACGAAGCACAATCTGACCAATACTAGCTTCTACACCAGGTTAAATTCCAAATTTTATTCTTTAGTAAACGGCGAATCAATTCACAGCATCATGAATTTGCACGTATCATACTTTCATTCGTGTTATCATTTAAATAGTGATTTAAACTCGAAATATCGAGTCAATCCCAGTTTCGCTTCATTTGTGTGAATATTATAAAACAGATTGTTCTTTAATACGAAATTTACCAAAACATTCAAAAATTTATTACGTTGTACTCGAATACGTAAGGAATTGCTTATTTCTGCTTTAACGTCATGCCCGGCGGCAACAGTCTCGTCGTCGCTGCCTGAACGGTGGTCGCGTCTCTGAAGACGGCCGAGCCAATTTAAATTAGTTCCCTTTCCTCGGAACGACGCCTTTTTCTCTTACAATCAGTTAACGGTGCGCGCGGTTTTCCAAGGCAAGTAAAACTGACTGACGCAACCGTGAGGGCCGTTGAACGGGCTCCGATACTTTTATTATCGTGCCACGCGAGCGTTCGCGAGCGGAACGTTAACGATCGGTGGTAATGCCGGGTTCGCGTGAACGCCCACACGAAAATTTTTGCCGCCGCCGCCGCAGCGAGTGTCCAGCGTACGGTGAGAAATTGCGCGCGATTAGGCGTAACGTTCGCGAGCGAGTTGTAGGCGTTGCCTGGGCCGGCTGCTACCTCGCATGAATCACTCGCTGCCGCGCGCCGCGCCGTGAGCCGCGAGTATTGAACGGGACACGAGTCAAGATCGGAGAGAGGTTCTCTCACGTTTCACCCGTCGAATTCGTACCCCCGGGTAAATCGATCGCCCGTTACATGCTCCTCCGCATCGGCCAATTGTTTTAACCCATTTGCATTCGTAACGCTCATCTGTGCTCGATTTTCCCAGCCGTTATCCCCGTAACGCGGGGCTATATATGAATGCTTTTGAACCACATCCGCAATAACAGCGAATGGCATTTAGGTGTAACGAATGTGTAGACCTTTAATCATCGAGGACATTAAATAACAGTATGTTTCGGTAAACGCTCCGAAATTGATATTCTGCGATGAAAATGCGAGAGAGAACAGAGATACGAAAAAAAGTTTGTGGGATTTGTTTATACAGGTTAAACTGCAAATGCGACGAGAAGTTCTACCATTGTCTTAGCAAGTCGAAGGACAACGGCAGCAAGCCGGTAAAATTCACTTATTTCACGGTCCTACACACGCAATGCTACCAGAAAGATTACCCGATCGTACGTTGCAAAAGAAAGACTTTGTAAGTGTAATGGCTCGCGATAGTGCCCGAGCGAGCGCAATTCCATGGAATTGCAATTTGTCTAATAACGATCCCGGGAGGTTTATGTCAATTTAAAGAGCACTTTCTAACTATCCCCGACAGCATTCCTCCTAGACGGTGTTTGGAGTACGAGCTGGACAAGAATAAACCGATGAAGTACCAGTGGTTCGACGTACCCACGGCTGCAATGAGGTCGCGATGAATGTTCGCGACAAATGATTACAATTTGTGTTTAGTCAAATGTAGAATAAAATTACAAATTATCCGAATAATAACTTTCCTCATCACAAAGCGAATAAGCAAACTAATAAGTACACTCGGTCTAAGCGTTTACTATGCTCAATCGTTTCTAAATTGAACATACCTCTACGATACCATGTTAAAGGAATTATTAGCTCATCACGCGTGTACCTTTTGAGGCAAAGTGAAAAAAGATGGGGACAAGGAATATTACATCGAAACGAAAAGATAAGCGAGGGGCAGTTTAATTGGTCTCACCTTTCCGCGCGTTTCCCTCTATTTTACGAGAGAGGGAGGACAAGAGGGAAAGAGATAGAGAGGGATTGTGTGGGCAGCTGACGCTTAGCGGAGGATTTCCCCGGAAATTTATATCCGGATCGAGCGCAGCCGCCCGCCACGCCACGCCTCGCCGATTTACAACTTCTCCCTATTCACCTGTGTGCGTACCTTCGCTCTCGGGTACGCGCATAAGTATCTACCACGAACTTCGTTTCGTGCCGCGTAAAATTTTCGTACTGTGTACGCTTTTATCGAACGGGTCAGGCGAAACGAATTCTCCGATTTATCGAACAGGGGCCGAGCTGGCCCTACATCGCAGCCAGCGAGCACGGACGCCGGTATCGAGGCGAATCGCTTGATATTTCTACACGACTTTCCACTCGAACTTCTATCTGGAAAATTTTTATCGGTGCACGCTCGCTCTGCCACGCGGCATCGGCATAGAACGGAATTCCCTCGTGTAATAAGCCGGACGGCCAACGTGAAACTTGCAAAGTCGAGGCCGAACGCGAGGCGTCGCGACGGAGAGTTTCAACTCTTCCGGGCCCGCGCGCGTCCAGAGGCTTGAATGGCCCGGCGTGTTCATTTCTATGGTAATCCGACGTTCCCTATAAATTTCGTATATTACTCGCTTGTAACAGAAACGCTATATCGGGAATTTATTAAGGCGCTTCAGAAAACGCGCGTATCCTCCATTACTTTTAAATAAACTGTCGGCTGGACGTTCGTAGTAGTATTATTATGGACGATAAGAGTAGATGGGAAAACGATTAATGTTTACGCGGAGCTCCACTTCATAAAATGAATTAGGTTTTTCAGGAAATAATTAACAGCCAAAACGTAAATTTAATTTAAGGCTTTGAATCATTTCTCTGCCAAATTACGTTGTCCATCGTCTTCTACTCCGCCTGCATATTTGATAATCTCCTCATGATTTTTGGCCACGAAGCTGACTCTAATTTTTTGCGCCGTTCTTTTTTATCCTCCTGTAGTGATCGGCACTATTCATGGTTGCTAACCCAAATGGATGTTTGATTTCAGACGTGGCAGCCTCGGTGGAGGTTCACTTCGAGAACAAGGATGGCGGATTCTTCCTGAAGCACATACCGAGGCAATACTACCCTGTTCGAACTGATACGGTGGTATCTCCGTCGACGGGGACCTCATCTAGCGGGCTTCCATCGTCGCCGCCCGGGTCCGTTCTCTCGATAGACAAATTCACAGTGTTTCAAACGAGCGAGCCGGTGTCCGTACGAGCAACTTACGGCCCGTTTAGCACGAAGCAGACCGTACCGGCTCGTTCTATAGTTCCGGACCCGTTGGACGCGTTACCGGGACCAGAAACAAGACGAAATCTAACCGCGGCTACGATTCTGGACGCGCAAGAGTTAGGCGCTCGTCACTTGGACATGTCCGCTCATCTGGTCGGAACCAGCGTACCTCGCGACTCGCCTGTACTCCGAGTACTCTTCCATGCCGGAAGCGAGGCCGGTGGAAGGCGTCAATTGCTATTAGCCCGCCATCAGAGGGTTTGTGTAATTCTGCACGCGAATCTGGCCGCTCCGGCGAGGAGCACGGCTAACAGAAACAACGGCAAAAGCTACTCTTCGTCCTCGTCGTCCGCTTACATGTTAACGGCAGCCTGCAGTCCCGACGGAGAGAACGGAGTTTGCCTGGCACAGATCACGATACCAGCCGACTGGTGGCCACCGTTGCCACCTCCGGACGCTTCTGGTCGGGTAAAGGTTGCCAAAAGCCTGCCCAGGCTCGTGCAGGTTGCCTACTCTGTGCTGGAACCGCTGACAGAGGAGGTCGGCTCGCCTGACACCGGAGCCGGCTTCTGCAGGCCCGGTGTTCAGATTCAGCCCGTCACGCCGCTCGGTCAGGTGCCCCTGGCACCGAACCGGGCCGATTACAAGGAGCTCAAGGCCGATGAATCGCTGACCCTGCTCGTGCCTCACGGGCCCCTATATCCGAGATCCAGGCTACATGTCCCGGCGTTCCTGCATCCGTCCAAGGTCACCGATCCCAGACAGGAAAGGCCACCGCTCGTCATCGCTGTGTATATCAGGTGAGAAATCGATCTTTGTTCTTCATTTACAATCCTCGTCTCTGACGAATGTCAGGTTCAGCCAGGCCCACTCCATAATTTAAAATTCGTATCTCCTACAAATGTATGAAACTGTTCTTACCTTTTTCTCATTCTGAACTCTAATGGATTTAATATCGGTCATGCGTGAAGATAACCCTGATTGAATGTCACGTAGACTTCACGTTAAAAGTGTTTCGCGCTGTAAAACGGTTGAAGAATGTTTAAAACCGTCGAGTCTCTCCGGGAGAAGACGCGCGAGTAGAAAGGCGGGTAGTTGGTTACGTAATAGCGAATTAATGATAACGGCGGAGTGGCTGACGGCTTTCAGTGGCAGCCGCTCGAATTCGTTGCGCTCTTTTTTAGACGCCGCGCCGCGCCTCGCGAACCGTTGGGAAAGTAATTACGAAAAAGACGAAGAATTTTTCGCAACGCGAAAACTTTGCCAGACAACGTGCCACGAGATTGCACGGGCGGAGTCAAATGTTTGCCCGGTCGGTCGGTGCTTCTTCGTCTCGCGGTACTCTTTTTAAGTTGGAGAAAGTCGCCGCGTCGGTGAAACACACTTGCCGTCTTCCGTTTCGCTTTTTGTTAGTGTATACATAGGTAGGTAGTCGTAACTCAGCGGAAAAGACACGATGAAACGTGGCGAGGACCGGGCACGAAATTCACTTAGCCCGCCTGCCCACCGCCTTTTTCTTCTCGTGCGAATGTCCTCGAAAAACCGTTTTAATGCACCCGGCAGAGTTCTTCGTATAAAAACTAGAACAGGAAAGGATGAAGAACGGAGAGAAAGAGGAAGAGAGAGAGCGAGAGAGAACACGAAGGCAAAAATTTCCTAATTGGATGAATTGTCAAGCATCCCCGCATAAAGTTACAACCTTTCCCATTGTTAGTAAACTCTCCGAACAGTTTCCTATTCCGTTTCGCATACGGCTCGGCCGATTCTCGCGACATTACGATCCGCCTACGACAACTTTTCAACGATTTCACCGTGACCCCTTTTTTTTCGAGTCGACATCGTTGTTAGATATAATTGCTATCGAGTCCAGCTCGGTTGAAAAACGATAAGTTCACGGGTCACTCGGACTGCCGACCCGATTCTTACGTTTACAGAATACGTTAGTTTTCGTAAAAAAAGTGAAGAGATTTTTTGTAGCGCGGTTGAGAAAACTACAACCATACTGATTGTCCCTCATTTGTCTAACTTAATTTATCTGCTTGCGTATCAAGAGATGCGGAAGCGACCCGAAGGCAAGTTTCAGCCTGAAAGTGGCAGCTTGTCGTCGGGAACCGCGTCCCTTATATGCACGTAAATTCGGATTCGAATTTTTCTTTTACTTATTACGATTAACGATTACGATTTTAAATATTCAAATTTGCCCAGCTTTTTACCTTTTTAGAAAAAGATCAGTTTTTATTAGCTCAAATTGGCATAATGATATAGAACGTTATTTTCGTACCGTATACTTCTAACTTCCAAGAAATAGAGACACGAAGGCGGGGACGGATTAAAGATTCACGAGGCTCGGGGCTAAAATGAATATGGGATCCGCTTAAGGGCAGCAAAAAATGATCATTTTACGAATATAAATAAAAACTATGTTATTATTTTTTCAATTTATTATCGTAGACATAATCTGTGCAAGTGCAAATATTTTTTTATAACACATGCCTAAAAGAGACCATTTTTGGCACCTATAAAGTGGACTGAAAATAGAGATTTTCCTGCCCTAGGAACGGAAAACGTACTAAACAATCAACCTCGCCTGGAAAAGCCCGTTTTTGGCCCTTGGTGTGTAATGTACTATTATTCGAGCTCGCGGGGCCCCTTGGATATTGGGACCTGGGGCTACAGCCCCAGCTAGCCCGCCGCCCCTTTAATCCGCCTCTGCACGAAGGGCGAAGAAAGTCTGCGGAAATTCATAGTTTTCCTTGGGAATTGCGTTGCATAAATTGAATCAGTTTCCTTCGGGAAGCGATGACATTAAAACGTAGCTTGCCACGTTGAGTATGTAAGAATGGAAAGATTGTATCGCGCTATAGTTTTCGAAGGTGTCTAGCCTTGGTAACACGATTTGTACCTGAGTAGCAAGCTAGCTTGTCCCTTAACGAGAAATCAGGAACCCGTGGTGATCCCGGGTCGCTTAGAAATTCGATTACGGAGAAGAGTTCAGCCGCTCCTTATCCGGCGCCGAGTTGCACCGCGCTGGATAAAGGAATTTTTGCCTCGCATAGTTTTCCCCGAGTCTTATCTGGAAAACCTAGAGCCGTTTTATGTACCGTGGCCTCGACACTTTCTCGAAGAATCCGCGTTTTATTTTCACGGTATCGGTTTTCGTGTCAGCCAGGAATTTTATGTAATCGGTACTCGCTCGCGGCTAGACGGTGTCCCGCAATATCTGCGGACACCTGCCGACTCGATTCCGACGGGCGAAATCGGTCGCATTCACCAATCGGGAGACAAGCTTCCCGTCGAGACGCGCCGCTTCGCGTCGCGTACTTCGATCATAATTGTCGCGCGAATTATCGGTGACACATTGAAGCTTAATCGAGCAAGGGTTCCTCGCGGTGAACGGGTCACAGTTACGCAATCGACCGTTTCTGGAGGTCGCGCGCCGTGGCAGTGTCGTTCCGAGATCGATCGCGCGAGCTGTGCCAGTCATTGAATAAATTGTGGTCGTTGCCGGACACCGGTCGTCCGTCAACTCGATTTGGGAAAGCGTAGCTCGTCCCGGCGCGTCGCCTCGCGTCGAGATCGCTCCGATACAGAGCCGTTTTGCACGTCGCCGATTTGTATGTAAATGTCAATCTATATCCCTCAGGAAATAACTTAATTCCAACTTGTAATTGCGTCTACGGAATGCGTGCTGTCGCTGTGCGCTACAGACCAGACTGCTGGACGAGGGTCAGTCCTTGAACAGTGACAGTGAATGTTCGAGCACGGAGATAGAGTTCTTTTTACGGTTGTTATAAATGAACAAAATTATTATTAAAATCTGGGTTTGGATAGAATGTAGATATTTTTCAGGAAGGTTTTATAATGACGGGCGCTGGTATTGTCTTGTAGAATTATTATAGTAATTAGCGAAACTACGGCTAAAAGGCTGGGTAAAAATGAGCGAGAATTCGTCGCGCGGGGATTTGAGCGGGGCCAGCGATCTTTTGTGTCGTCGATTCTTTTCAAAAGCCGGCCAATCCTTGTCTGTCTCCCTGCCGGGAACTAGCGCGCTCACCCTTCACACAGGGCAGGGGGTGGCTAACCTTTTTGCTCGCGCATGAATGTCGCAGCTAAACGCCACCGCAGCCCCCGCTACCTTTCACAACCCTAATTTAGCCCTCAACCAGAGGTTAACTTAATTACCCCCGGGTTTTACTGGGACGGTTCGTTTATCTCGGATAATCGACCTCGATCAGGTGTAATTCAATTTAAAAAAAAAAAGAAAGAAAAAAGAAAGCAGGAAACTAGTCGGGTACCGTTACTTCCCTTGATCAAGCTTTTATCCATCTTTCCTTGGGATAGTCGTTTCTCGTCAGCCGATAGAATCGCCGCTCGCGAGAACCAGGCCAAAGCGGAAGACTTACTCGGTCTGCAAATCGAATCTACCGCTTGTTTTGCATCGGCCATCGAATTAACGACCGTTTCACCTGCGCCGCGTCGCACCGAAGCACCGGTAGAGATATTCTATTTGCACCGGGGCAGCTAGACGGTCTCTCGATAATTCATGTGCGACCGATTGTCCGCATCCTGAACACCGAGCCACCACCGGGTATCGATATTGGTGCGCGCGCCGTCGCGTTTTCCGCCGCGGTAACGAAAATACGATAGGCGGGGGACGCGCGAAAAACTGGCAACATTAGTGGCGGTGCCGGAAAAATGATTCGTTCCAATTACAGTCCTGGTTGGCGCGCAACAGGGTAAAAAAAAGAGCAGGATATTACCTGACCCCAAACCGGAGAATAACGACGTAGAACAAATGTTGAGCGGCATGCGTTTTTCGCCCACGCGGAAAAAGGTCGGCCAGCCAACCAACTCGGGATAAGCGCGGTCACGTAAAATATCTACGCCTTCGTCGCAATTTCATCCGATTCGCAAAAATTCTCAACTTTTCTCGTTACCACCTCGCGCCTGCCGTCCAAAAAGTAATGAGACCGCGTTTATGTCCCCGCACTACTGGTAACGTGTCAACGAAACTCGTAGGAGCGAACGTCGTCTGTATCTCGTAGAATCTGACTGGATTTGACTTGGATGACGTTAACACATGTGATTTCATGACGAGCCGCGCAGATGTGTCTCACTGGTTAAGGATGCGCGTTCGCTGAGAGACGAACGACGCTCGATCGCTAGTGCAGCGCGAACACGAATGGCTAAACAGAAGTGCATTGATATTTATCTAATGCGGCGTCGGACAGACGCATCTTCGCGCATCGTAACTCCTCCGTGACATCGACCCCGTGACCCGGTCACGTAACTGGAGCATGAATTCTCAGTAGCGGAGGCTTGTAGAGAAAGAGAAACAGCAAGATAGGAGCGTAAGCGTTTCGACGCGACGTTCGACTCCCAAGCAAATTTCCTTGCGAGTGGCGGCGGAAGTTTTCTTCCCCTCGTTTCGTGACGCTCCTACCGATCGAGTCACGACTCTGACGCCTGCTTCGATACGCGCGACTTATAAATTCTGTCCTGGCAACTTTACGAATTTCGAGCGCGAACAGGAAACTTCGTTTCGCTGGTTAGCTGACCTGCTCGTTCAAAAACACGTATACAGGTACGTAGTAGAAGATCCGTGTCTCTTTGACGAGCGTGAGCTCGCGTTTAATTGCGGCAGGGATTAATTTTTTCCACGGCGAGGAGGATTATGTCGGTGGTATGTGGCGGCGCTAGCGCGATTCGCACGTAACGCGACGCTCCTCTAATTAAAACGCATTAGCACGAAGCCGCCACCACCGCGCGACTGCCGTTAATTCTCGTTTTTGGGACATTTTAATTACGCCGCCTTCCGATGTACCGCGCAGATTTCTCATTATTAACGCCTCGATATCGCGGCTGTACTTACCAGAAATCGTAGCAATCTCGCAACAGAAAACTGCGACAGCTACCGCATCGTTTTCACGTGTCTTTTAGATAAAGATTATAACGAGTCACGTCAGCAAGCAGCCTGTGCAAGAAGATGATTGGAAAATAGATGAAAGAAAAATATGAGCAGTGAATTTGAAAATGTCTACACAAGCCTTCGGCTACGAATTGCGTAGGTTATTTAATGAAGAATCGCAGGGGAGCGGAGCGGAGCGTGACGGGTGCTCGATGAATAGGTCAGTGCTCGCCCTTTCTTCGCAATTTCAATTCGTTTGATTAATTTTTAGCGACTCCTCCCGAATTTTCTTTTGTTATTGATATTTGCTGGACACGGATGATTCAATACGTCTTTGTTGTCGTGTTATGCTCGCGCGAGTGCCGGCGTAGCCCTCGACCTGATCCGACCGGTAATCGAATCGGACGAACAACGAAAATATTTTTCAAACACGGGAACACGAGAAGCGCGATCGAGATTTTCCAGCGTGGCGAGCGTCAGAACGGGTGGTCGACGTCGCGCGCAAATGCGCTGAGGGGAAAAAATCGTCCCCTCGATGTACAGGCTCTCTCGCGCGTCGGGGGCAAACGATTTGTCTAAACGGAGCCTGGCTCCCGTGTGTATGGCCACCTTCGTCGGCCATATTTCATCGTGTTCGTACAAATTCAATTTCCAATCCGGTACTTTGTAATCGAAAGGATAAGGTGCGCGGGATGGGATGGGATGTGAACGTGAATCCGTTCATGCTGAGTTCCAATGGAAAAAATCTCATCCATCGAATATCGTGATGGCAAATACAGAATGACACAAATGTAATGGAATTCTGTACGAAATTTCAACTTCGTGCAGCGAAGGGACGGTTGAATAATATTCTGTTCACTTAAGGTTATATGAACCCTTGCATAAAAATAATGACAAAGCATTGAAATTTTGACAATTACTAGATATTACATCGATGAAACACTGTACAAAAACTTGGATATTTTGCGAAGCAATTAAAATTGTTATTACATCTTGAATTCTTATGTCGAATGACAGAATTTTGATTTTATTTATGAAAAGATATAAATGCAGTGATGACAGAATTTTGTAATTATGTATAATTCTTAATACATCATATAACAATATTTCAAGATTGAAANAACTAAATTTAAATAAAACAATAATGTAAATTTCGAGGATGTTATTCCAGATATACAATAAAAAGTATGCAAAAGTAAGAATTATAGGACATGTAGACAGTTGCAAGTCATGTATAATCGAATAAAAAAGATGTATATTAAACTGTGTATTAGAATATTAGAAATTATGCGTCAAAAATTCCTTATAAATAATAACTTTTAATTTTTTAGATTAAAAGTCTGCAGAATTCACTGCCAAAAATTTGTGATAGGATTCAATGTTACTTGAACATGTTTAGTCATTCATCAGAGTTTATCTGTTTTGTTCAATTAATTATAGTTAATCAAATGGTTGATATATTTAACAATTAAGCGGTTCAAATAATAATAGTTAATTAAGCGATTTAAATATATCCAATTGAAACGCTGTGGTATTTTTATACACTTTCGTAGAAATTATTCTAACGTTGACCGAAATCCAAGCGAGGAGACTGAAAGTGTGCCGGCGCGGTTAGTTAGACGCGATCGAAGGGAAATCCGATACGCGTACGTACAAGAAGAAGATGACGCCTCGTTTGCAACCGTCCGGACTCCGGGATAATTGAAAGAACCGGAGGGGTTGGAAAAGTTGACGAGGTGCACCCGACTAGTCTGCCCGGTCGGTCGCATTATTCCAAGGAGTTGAACCGATAATTGCCGCGTCGCGCATCGATCGGCTGGTTCTCCGCGCCGCGGTTATTGGAAAAAAGTAGCTCCGTAGAATTGTTTCACCCTTGAACCCGTTTGCGCTTTCGTTTCATCCGCGTCTTTCGTTCCGCCGCGGCTCTCCGCCTCACTTTTTTTATTTTTCCCACTTCTCTCTATTTTTAATCGGCCCTTTTTTTCCTGCATGATTTCGAGAGAGCAACCGCGCCACGTTTACTTTACCGTTTTGGAGCGATTTCCAGTCGACCGTTTGTTTGCGCTGCGAGACTCGCGCTGTGGTTGCGTTCGGATTTCGCTTCGATCGAACGGATTTCCTCGTCACCCGGCCACCTGAATAATGTATGTACTATCCCTGATTCTTGCGACGCCATCGGTAACAGAACAAGCGGATTATTGTGTCACGATTAATAAAGGGTTCGATCCATGTTCCAGGGCCAGGGTGAAGTCCGGCGTGAAAATTCTGGACGCCTCGTCCAGCAATCCGGATTGGATCGTCGACAGTAAAATAAATGCGAAAAACACGATCGCTACGTTCACAGCCAGGCGGAAGGAGAACGTTTCGAGGATATCAAACGCGTAAGTACGTCGGAATTTGGCGAGGGATTTTTATTACTTTCTAAAAGCGGACGATGATGGTTAAAAAGTGGATGTCGGTCGTAAAATATGAACACACTCATTTTATTGGTATCTTCTTAAAAGTCGATATGATGCACGTATAGCAGGCGCGCACTTTAACTTGTAAAAACAAGTAGGACATTTTTTATTTCGGATGGTCGAGTAGTTATCTAACAATTAGCTACGAGTGGTTCCAGATCGATTTTCTGATAAATGTACTTTTTCTACCCTCCTTGGGAGCCGATGATGCGTGAAAGAATTGTTTAGAGCAGAAAATAAGAAGTGATGCAACGCATTATCTCCTCGAGTTAATTACTGTGCATTAAAATAGATAATTAACATTGATTAGAATTTGATGTGTTATTGACGAAACGAGGAGTAGTAAACAAAAGAAATATCATACATTCGATGACGTTCTCACTTCATATAACCGCGGCGCTTGCGTCTTTCCTTTCTTGTTCCAAACATTTTCCTTTTTAAGTTTCCTGGTGGTCCGAATGTAGCATGATTAATAAAAAAACCTTTCACTAAGGTTTCGGTGTATTCTTTTCTTCGGACGAAGACTTGCTCTCAGAACTCGCTTGGTCCACGTCCCTTTTGTATTTTCTCATTAACAGGCAATCTCCATTATCCGAATCGCAATCTCGTTTGGATTTTGTTTGATTCTTGCAACCGTCGCCATTGTCGCAATCGATATTACTGCGCTTTTTCTTTTTCTTGTTATCGTCATCATCGTCGTCGCTGTCATCACTATCGTCGCTGTCATCATCATTATTTTTGCAACTTTTCTTCTTCTTCGATTTTCTCTTACAATCATTATCGTCATCATCGTCGCTATCGTCGCTGTCATCATTATTTTTCTTCTTCTTCGATTTTCTCTTACAATCATCGTCGCTGTCGTCGCTGTCGTCGCTGTCGTCGCTGTCGTCGCTGTCGTCGTCATTATCATTCTTCTTTTTCTTCTTTTTGCAATCATCGTCGTCGCTATCATCGCTGTCGTCGTCATCGCAATCATTCTTCTTTTTCGACTTTCGCTTATGGTTGTTGTCATCATCATCGCTTGAAGAACTGCTGCTACTACTACTGCTACTACTACTGCTGCTGCTGCTGCTACTGTCATCGTCATCGTTCTTCTTTTTGGTCGAGCGAACCATCCTCACTTTTTCAGCTTCCTTGACAACATCCTTAACAGCTTCTTCACTGATGTGAGATTCCTCGCTTGAACTATCCGATTTTGGGTCGGCAGGCTTTGGATCAATTGGCATTGATACATTCTGCTGTTCCGAAAGGATTGCGTCAACTTCATTCTCGGCTAGCGGATATGCCTCGGTACAGAACGCCGAGACAAGAACGACGGAAATGGCGACGATTATTAATGCACTGGAACGCATGTCGTTCACCGGGTTAATTCGCGATATCAAACTTGTCGGCTCCGTCTTACATCTCGGTCTTATATAGACGTGCCAGCTTGATAAACTCCCGACCAAAAGAAGTTGACGTATGGGCAGCCGCAGTGGTACTCATGAATGCTTATCGATAGTCAGAGGTTAATTACGTTATTGCGAATTACCGTATTCCTATTATTGTCGTATTTCCTTGCATGGATGTAATTGCAGGTCCGATTACTCACTGCAATTATAAACAGCAATGCATGCAGAAAATTAAATGTACGTTATCAAAAGTGTCGATTACGAGTTGATCTTTTAACATAAAATCACATGACATTCTTGACTAGAAGTATAAATACTTTAGAATCTTTTCTGAAGTAACAAGCTTAATAATGAGACGACGCGGTGACATGTTGAGACTGAATTAGCAGGAGTCGAATATCAGAATGAAAAATCTGAAACTCGGAACGCTGTTTTCAAACTAGTTGAAAACAGGAAAAGTAAAAGTCATGAGTATCACTGTCTATTACAGACATGTGTTCGTTTATCGTAGTTAACCCTGCGATGCTCCGATTTGATTACCCTTTTTCTTACATATTTGCGATATGACATCAATAGTTTAGTGTCGCGGTTTTGGATCGTTGATTGTGAGTATAACGCTGAGACCTATGATCTCGATAAAAACGTCGCATTTAGAGAGACCTCGTTATCATTACTTGGAATCGAGTTTCTACTTACTCCGTCGATTCTTCTTCCGTCTATCTACCTAACCGCTAATTCTATTCCCTCTTTACCATTCATTCTTCCCTTGTTCTCGTTCTATTTTCGTTCCTGGTATCGCTGAATGGCATTCGATCGATCTAATTTCGATTAGCCTGTTTCCCGAAAATACCGACAAATTCAACGAGTCTCCTTTATCGATGCCCTGTTTAATTTCGTTCCACGGCCTCTTCTCGATATTCTATCCGCGAATTCGTTATTTATTTCATATCGAACTGCGATAGGAAACGGTTTGGAGGATCGAGAGTTCTTCTTTTAGAATCGCGTCTCGACAAGAGGCGAACGAGGAGGGAGAGTCGTCTCGTTGTGTAAATATCGTATCGCAGCCTGCGACGGAATTATTTCGTGACGTGGAATTTCTATCCGTCGAGGTCGTCGTCGGTGCTCTCCGTGATTTCGTAATTCTTGAACTTCCCCGATCCTCCCGGTCTGTCGACCGGTGAGGTGCTTTCCTCTCTTCAATTTGCTAAAACTGGCGTGGAACACGGTTATTCCGACTCGTAAATCCTTCGGTAATAACCGTCCGTTCCAGCACCGGCGCGCGATGATCCTCGTTCACGAGCAGAGCAACAGACTGAAGGATCGTTAATGCGTGTTCGACAGTAGTACGAGGAGCCGGGTGGCCTGGCGTGCGGCTCCTCTCGCGTTCGCGATTTTGTTACGCGACCGTGTTGCGCCCAGCATCCATCCTGTTACGTAACGGCCAACGACTTGTAACTAGAAATACCCCTGGCATCGCGAGTTGCTCGTGTCTGGCTGTTGAACGAAATCCTCGTTAGCTTCCCGGTGCTCAACAAATACGATGATGCTTTAACGTTGCAACTTCGCCGCGTTCGCTTCTCCAGTTAGGGTTGTTTCTCGGTAGGTAGATAAATGTTCTTCTCCCGGCATCCAATTGTACTCCACGCTCGGTTGCCCTCGTGCGCCTCCTTTCACCGAACCGACATTTTTCGACAAACGATGTCGATTGAAATTACGGGTATCTCAAATCGCTACGGGGATGTAAATAAAGTTGATGCAAATTGAGTACGCAAATGAATAACGTAAGGAGTGCATTACTGTACCTTAAATAATTAATAAATATTAATAAAATATGTATGAGAATCATGACAATAAGTACATATTTTATTAAATAATGTCTACTCCAGTGGCATTATTCGAGATGAGAATAATTGAAAAGCTGAGAAACGCTTTCATCGACTGTACGTGTCCAACTAACTGCGTCACGACGGAGTTCGAATTAGTACTAAAAGAGTTTTATATCCGAGCCATGGAACTGTTTCTCAATGCAGTAGCGATAGTATGATCAATAAAATTTCGTTCGTCAAGCTATTGATTTATGTAACCATTGGCTATCCACGTTCGAACGAAAATCATTTGAGTCGTAGATATGCGTTTTCTAACACTGACTATTTCGAACTATTACTTACAATATATTTTATTGAAGGACAGTTGTTCGACTATCTGAAATGCCCGATCATTTAGTTAGCCGTTAATAGGGTCGTTGATCGGAATTTCGTGTCACGCCATTGTCATCGGATTGCTAAAAGAATTCGTCCGGCGCGACCGCGATCCTCTTCGGAGAAGCGATTCCGTATAAATAGTATTAGAGACGCGACAGGCGCGTTCTTGTTCCGGCGAAGAATTGGGCCGTTTCGAGAATAGGCGCCTCGCGCAGTCAGAGCAACTATAATTATTTAACCTAATAACAATAAGCGGATGCCAATGGGAACGCGTGTTTGGTTTGCAGATCGGCGGAGGAGATCTTGACGATGCTTCTCGAGGCGAGCGAGGAGGGGGTGGATGGGAATTGGGACGGCGGTCGAATCGTTTGGAGCGTGCGTTACGCTTTCGACAACGGCTCTCAGCTAAATGGGATGGATCAGCTGCAGCAGAGATTGCAACAACGACAGATGCAACACCATCATCATCATCATGCCGAGAGACGGAAGTTACAAGTCCGGCTTGAAATACAGAAGGACGACATACAGGCGGTGCTGCCCATCTCTAAGGTACATGAACTACCGCCGTAAAGTTCGTTCTTTTCCTTCTTTCTCTTCCACTTCTCTACGTTCCCTTCTTGGTAATGTCGAGATAATGAAGATTACTTGGTATGGTCCGAGATACCGCTTTGTGTATTCGGTGCTTGTCAGCGGGTTTTTACCGAAAACTAGTTGAACCAGGAACCTTGTCTTCGAGAAAGGTGAAATTCTAACGCTGATGCTTTTTAAATTTCAATACAATTCACCGTCGAAGTGTGAATTCACATTAGGTATTCATTCAATAATATTCGCGTTGAACATTCCAATTCGTATTTAAAGTAGAAGAGAAATTTTATGAACACAAAATACAATCAATTTACATAATCAGTCTGTACATAAATAAGATGCTGTTTAAGGATCCTTCGGTAGCTTGTCTCAAGATACAAATTCTCAGTCAAATCAAGAATCAGTAGGTTTACTGATTTAACTTTCATAAGAACTTGACATCGACAGTTCCTTTTAATACCATTTTTTTCATACGGTAAACCAGGTAAATATTTAGATGACAATTTGTAGCTGAAATGTCGAGAATAATGCAAGGCTATGAGTTTATAGCTCTGCTGGTTTAATATTTCCGGAGTTCATATTCGTAAAGAGCAATAACACAAAAATACACGTGTGTGATATTTGAGACACATGAAAACTTAACGATTTATAATACGTTTATGCATCCTGAAGAGTGGAAAAGTAGCTGCGGTTATTGAACATTTCATAGTATTAAAATCACCGAAGCGAGACCTGCAGTTGGAAAATGAAGTTTATTATGCAACGGCATAATACGAGCTAAAATCACGTTTATGTGGAACTATACTGGAACCAGGCGGTCCTCGCGCTTTTTATACTTCTAATTACGGATATTATATAGTGCTCCTTGATTAAACCACCATTGGCGCTAAATATAAATATATTCTGTCGTAAAGTTTTCTAATACCGTAATACATGGTATTACCTCAACAATTCATTAATCAACGCAGCGAACAAACTGCTGTTAGGCTGAATTATAAGAAGAAATTGCGCTTGATTCAATATCGTAGTCTTAAATATTTTGTATATCGTCCAACCGATAACGAGAAAACGTGCAGAGTTACGTTTCGCGATGGAACGCGCTCGGTTAAGGGTTCGAAAACGTCGACGATAAAGGGAGGTTCCCGGTGCAATTCCGAATGGTTGTTCGAGGACACCACCAAATACGTATCCAACGATTTTCATTCCCGCCAACTGCGCCGCAGACGTGCATCGGAGATTCCGCGGTGGAATCCGTGTACGCCGATCGGAAAATAGAAAAATCGGCGAGGCGATGAGAGCGAAAGAGACGAGAGAGGGCGAGGTTCTTCTGAACGTGAGGCAATATCGGCAACCGACACGATTTTCAGGCCAACCTTTCTCCCTCTTTCTCCATCCCTCTCCCTTTGCCTCTGTCCTCCCACGCTGTTGGAAAAGAATCCGCTAAGTTGGCCGATAACCGGCGGCAAAAGTGCCGATCGATACAGATGAGTACGTGGTGTATGGCCTCGCGGGCGATCCTTTTTCGCCGAAAACTGGAGACGGTAGGGCTTCCCGGGCGGGGAGGAGAGAAGGCTGCGAGGGACGGGCACAAGGATAATGCGTTTCCCCGGACGAAACGGGAACAGACGTAACTTAACGATTGTCGCGAACGAGAAGTTTCGATTTCTTGCCACCGCGTTCAAGTCGTCGAAACTTCGTATCTGAGAACGGTCGCGTGATTTAACCGGGTCTATTCTTTGCCGTTGATAAACTAATAATGGGACACGGGCAAGGGTTTTCCGTCCAGCAAAAAATACACCGCCATTAAGTCGGTGCTGCTGGCTACCGAGCAAAGGGTAACGCCGCGCCACGTCGTTTTTCCAGCAGATAAAGCACGGACTCGTCCTCGAGGAGTTTTTATCGCCGCATTCGAAGAAATTTATTCGACGCAATCCGGGCGCTCTGACCAGGATTTCGAAAGCTTAGCGCACAGGGTTAATTGATTTCGTCTGTTGGTTCCTTTCGGCTTTTTTAACAGCGTCGACCTCTAGCGAGATCGATCCGGTTCACTGACTCACGGTACTTAACGATGCGAAATCGGTCAGCACGGAACGTTGTGTACACAACAATCAGCAGAAGACTCGCGCGCGACCTGCCTAATTGATTAATTAGTTCATTAATCCGCTTACATATTCCTTTGAAAGCTACGGAGCCGGCCAACTTGCCGGAAGCCCGTCCCACTTCCTGATTATCCGCACTTCTAATTGCCGTTGCCGGCCCAGAGGGTTGGCCTGAAGTTTTTAATTAAAAGAAACACTCTCGGACGCGTTCCGCGTATTTTTTTCACTCGCTATATCTCCGCGAAAGCGCTGACTTAACGCTACGCTTCGCCCGGCGAGAGCGGAATAGCGACGTTTCCAAAAGTGGACATTTAATGAAACAAAAATTGTGATGATGAGAAAGCATTCAATCCTCTCTCAATGCTTGCCACTTCAAAGTCTTTCAAATTTGTCTCTGTCAAAAACATAATTTATGAAAGAAATATCGTCAAACGTCCTCGTGGGGAGGCTGCGACGGTCGACTCTCTTGAGACGATGCGCCGGTGCTTCACGCGAAGCTAACCGACGCGAATCTCCGTGCTCGTTTAATCAGGGAGAAGAAAACATTTTGGCGGAAGCCGACGCGCCGCGCCGCATCGCACCGGGACGGGTATAAATATCTAGGCCAAGAGGATAAGAAACGAGGCTCGGCTACCGAAGGAGGGAGTCTACTTGGGTTAGCTGGCTAGAACCCTTTGACGATGAGCAGCCCTCGATAATGCATAGCTAAATCTCGTATACAGCGGAACGGGGCTAAGTAGATCAGAGATTCCCGATAAAGTTCGGTAGTTCGAACCCCGTCTGGCTATATTCGACTTTGGTACAAGATCCGTGCAGAGAACTCTCACGGAACTTCGATTTAACGCGGTTCAAACGTCTGCCGTCGCGTTTTGAGAAATTCTCCGCAACAATAGCTTTGTTAAATATTTTGTTTTAAACCGACCCATCTCAGCGATATTTTAATACCTAAATTAATGTAAACGTTTCATAGATGTGAGTATTTCTTAAATTCGTCTTTGGTAAAAATATTCCTGAACATTTTAAAGATTATGTTGCCAATCATATGAAAATCTCGTGCTTGTGTACTCGACGCTCAAAGTGTAAAACGAATTTTTCAACGAGACTCGATCAGAAGGAAATCAGAGAAGCAAGAAGAACGCCTATACACTCGGCGTCTCGTTTCGCAGGGATTCGAAGGATATTGGATGATGGCCGGAGGGAATATTTTAGAATAGAAGAACGATGGAAAAAGTCCAACGGACTATACTTGGAACGAACTCAATGGCAAGTTTTTTTGCGCTCGTTTAAGATTCGAGCTCATCGACGTTAGCCAGGGGCAGTGAAGAGATACTATATACAGCGGCTTTTGAAAAAGTATCGGCACAGATACATTTTCCATTAAAATGGTTTCTGATCAGATTTTATATTTCATCTGCATTAAAAGTACCCGACGGAGAACCCCGGCGTATCCAATTGTAGCCGTTTTAATCAATATTCTCGCAAGCATCTATCATAGATCTAAAAATATTCAACTTGTTACTCTCGTCCCCCGTTACTTTGGTCTCCGGTCTACTGTACGTGCACGAGGAGAGAAGATAAACGGATGTAGGTGGACGAATAGAGAGCCGCTCGGGGTCAGAGATTTAAATTCCCTCGCTGCAATATCCGAGTCGTTTGATGTTCCTTCCAAAGGGCAGACTGTACGGAAGCCAACTTGGAAATGGCTTCTCGTGCACCGGTCCGCTCCGCGCGTTCCTCGTCCTCTTTTCTCCGAGCATCATCGGGCTGCCCGCCTGCAAAGTACACACGTACACGTACAACGGGGCCATGGTGCAGAGACCGCGCGTAGAATAACTTCCATAGCAGGTTTCCGAGCGCGTTTCTGCCGCGTGTATACCTATGAATTTGTCTAGGCCCTCACCGAGACCCTCTAAAAGACCCACGCTCCCCCCTTCTCCGCTGCGATTCCACTGCTATTCGCGAAACTTTTCTGACAAGCCTTTCACCCCTGGGTGACCCTCGGGAGCAAACAAAAGCTTCCGGCGGACGAGGTACGATCGTCCTCCCATAAATCGAGTCGGCGACTCTTCTAAATGGAGTTGCGGAATGTTTTAACGATATCCGCGTTGCCACGGCGGCGGAGATTTTAATCGAATTCGTTTCTCGTCTGGCAGAACTGGGAGGTGATGAACACCGCGGTTTTAACCGGCCGGCAAGTGTCCCAGGGGATGAAGGTGTTTATCGTAAGCCAGGCTGGAACCGTCGCTGACGTTACCCTGCAATCCTCCTGTCACTCCGAGGACGAGAGCGTGCTCAAGGTATTTAACGTGATTTTCCAGTTGTGAACTACTTGAAGAATACTAACTTTCATGAAATGTATTAAATATCGAGATGGTGAGTATTGTGAACACGATTGTATCGCGTTGCTCCAGGTATCGTCTTCGTGTAGCAGCGTGTACGTTGACGGCACGGAAATTCGTGGCTCTAGTAACGCGTCCGTCCTCGTCAAGTACGGTACCTATACGGGACTAGCCAAATTCACAGTTTGGATGCCCGAATTCCCTCTGGAGATGACCGTCGGTGACACCAGGCTGAGCCAAATCAAAGGATGGAAGGTGCCCGAGGAACACGTAGGTGCCAAGAGTAAACGAAGCTTGAACGCCACGACCTCCTCGTGGCTGAACGATTCCGGTGCGAAGAACAAGAAGAGGAGCGCCGCGGAATTGGAGGAGGACACCTCGATAGACGTCGAGGACGCTGACGTAATCTTGGAGGAGGACGAGCAAGAGGAGAGGTTTCGGGGCAACGACAACGGATGGGACGCTATTAACTCCATCGATAGGAGCCCGTCCACCAATTGCAGGCTCCGTTTTCAACAGAGCCCCGTCGAGGTGCACGCGAGGTTCTTAGCCACCGATCACGACTCTGGAAGAGTCTCCTATTTTGTGAACCGACGAACTTGGCTGCGCGTGACCGATCTGGTGATAGGGATGCTCAGAGTGTCCGATCCCAGAATCGCCGACCTGTTGCAAGGAAGAATTGTTCAAGGCCGGGGAGTGGGCAGGACGGAGGTACAGGTTCTTTCGCCGATCACGAGCAAAGTGATCGGCGCGAAGGAAGTGCGAGTGGGCAACGACCGGATCGCGATCACCAGATTGTCAGTCAGGGTGGTATCCGGTTTGCAACTCACCATCAGCCCGGACAGTGCAATAGAAAACGGCTACGTAGCGGAAACGTCGGTCACGAGGAAGCTGACTGCTCAATATCAGGTAAATTATACACCTATGTTTTATTACATTTTCAGTCTCCTCGATATGAGACATCCAACTGATTTGGAATAGATATTTTTAATTAAAGTAAGACTTGTTTTAAAATACTTTTAATTTTTATACAAACTTCCGTATACGAAAGTGGAGGCAAGAATGAATCAGCCGTGCTGTTTAATTTTCGAAATATATGTATTCATAAGAAAAATGGTCCGAAAGTCGTATTTCACATTGTATTTTAAATGAAACGAAAACAGAATGCTTTTAAAAAGAGTTATAAAAGGACCAGTTGTAATAAATAAAAGATTTATATTGGATGCAGAATGAAGGAAACGATCTATTATACACGATATACTAAAAACACGTTGATCTCGTCGAAAGCATCATTTATTATGTAATAGTCAAATCAAATTCTTCGAGATTAATTGACATAATCAGGAGTGACATCACGCCTCGATGTCGATAATTTACACTGTTTACGGCATACATTTTGTATGTACGTGCATACATATTTCAATCGTGTGCAGAACACGGATTTAATGATTAAAGGCAGATTATTGAATTGAATTGAATATTTATGTATGATAATTACACATACATATACGTATACGTGCATTACAAAAAGCAGCCGGCATCTCTTTACAGAGTAAACTTGTCAATTCATCAACGTGATAAGTACTTTAAACTGTCACGTCGAAACCTGTGAACTATTCCATTTCGTCCTCGTTTGAAACTATTCGAATTTTTATTATAATATTTACGTGTAAAATTCCAATCGTATATTTCTCTGTGTAAACGAGTAATACTGCATTTCTAAACTACAATTGAAATTTAGCAACCGAAATTACGTGTGATTAGCCTGTAAATAATTCATATTGATTGCAGGAAGGTCTGTTAGACATAGACGTTGAATTTTCGGACGGAACGAGGACACCGTTGCGTGAAATCGCTGTCACCGACTACCACTTGGTAGTAGAGAGCCTGGATCCAGAAGTGGTAGCATTCGCTCCGATGGTCGCCTCTCATCACCCGCGAGTGATCGCAGTCGGCGAAGGACGAGGCGATTTATTGCGAGTCAGTCTTCAGCTGGCCGACGCTTGTCGTTTAAACAGCAGGAGGTCTGGAAAAGGATCTCAAAGGGCCACCGCCGCTGCCCTTGCAAGCGCTTCCGCCAACGTCGAAGTCGACTTTGCCTCTAGCGATCTTCCGAATCGGCCTGAGTTCGTGCAAAACGACGGAGGCGGTACGGTTGGTTCTCATCATCACAGGGAGAGGAAGAACGGCAGAGGAGAAATGACGCCCGATTTACGCGACATTCTAATTGGTAAATAGATCCTGTTCTCCTTTGACAACGCGTGCTCTTGTACCCTTGGCCAGGAATGTCACTTTGGTAGCATTATTGCATATCGTATGTGTCAAAGCGTGATCACAAAGCAAAATCTCATAAGAGGTGAATGCATAAAACGTAATTTTCATCTGTCGAGAAGGATGTAATCTGATAGAGGAATCTTGTATTTATTAATTCATATACTTCGCGCAGTGAAGAACGAGAGTATGTTTGGTATTCTTGTGAACTGAAGCCACGTACGTGACCGATATTGTTTTATCTTGCAACCACAGGTGCAATAAATCTCTTTTGATGTAGAGATCTCATGCAGATCTTGCTTTAGTTCTTCTCGCTTTTCTATCTTCGCTTATCTATCTCCCGTTTCTTTCCCAAACTTTCTTGCTCGATATTCGCTGCTGTTGCATCGCTGATTTTTTTATTGAAACTTTTCCTCATTTACAAATTTTATATTTTTACTTTCCCTTCTAACAAAAAGTTTAACTCCGTACCACCTCTAGAACAGGTATTTCTCTGATCACTTTCTTCGATGCCACAGCGGCATGCGCACTACACATTCGGCATAACTTACATTCGTTACATCAGCCGGCATCCTTATATGAATATCTATGCCATCTTTTTAATAAACATGTTACCTATCCCTGTTCTAGAATTAAATATCATTCGACCCATACATTATTAGCGACTGACCTCTTGAAACAGTTTTTTCCGTGCATGAGCAAGCGTTCGTTCGTGTCGCTTTTCAGTAGGCAGCTGGTCGTGCGGCAGGATACGCAGCTAAGCCGGGATCTGCCGCGTTCTCTACTTTCGAAGGCACCGTTTCTCACTCTTCTCCTCTCTCTTTCTGTCTCTTTGTTTTTTGTGCAAAGGGCTACCGCTGAAAGACGAGAACGGGCACAAGCACAAGCACGAGCACGAGCACGAACCTTTGGTGCAGGCACGGCAGCATCGCACGGCTATAGCTAATGGCATGTCTTCAGGAGGAATAGGCGGCGTCGGTGTACGGCATCACGGGGGATCGCGCATGAGCCCACTCGAGATCGGGATGTACGTCCTTCTGGCGGCCTTCTGTTTCGCCATCGTCGTCTTCGTCGCGTCCTGCGTGGTCTACGCGAGCAAATTCAAGCCACAGCCACCGGACTCACCGTTAGCTGGATCCGCGCTTCCGGTTCTCTCCTCGGGCGCAGCCAGGGCGAGAGCGGCGGCCAACCAGTTGGCGTCAGGAAGAAGGCCTCCCAGAGAGTCGACCACGAACGCGCACGATTGGGTCTGGTTAGGCAGAGCCACCCTTGAAAGAGCCGCTTGCGGGCCTCAACAGGTATGTCTATATGGTGGATCCGGTGTCTTCCAATCTCCTATTGTACTGACTCCAATATTTTTATCGCATAGTTTGAATTTCATGCTTAATATGTTCATATGTAAAACTGTGTGTTTTCATCGTAGGTAAGAGTAACCAGCAATCCTCTGGCTGGCGAGAACGAAGGAGAAGCAAGCGAATTGGCGACTTCCTTTGACAATCCGAATCATATCGAGTTACCATCCTCTGGACAGCGGAGCAATGGCTCTGGACCAATAGACACAACCACTTACTGTAAAAGGGACAAGGCTCCACGGAATAGTTTCGTATCTAAGTCATCAACGGGAATGACTACTACCACCGTTACCACTCCAGCTTCCATGGTTACATCTACTGTCACGACCACACGAAACGAGTAATCATTTTTCTATTATTCAGCTACATTTTATAGTTCTTTTCTCACAATTGGGTAAACGGATAAATTGCATTTTCTTTTAGTAACGATGACATTCCACCCCCTTTACCTCCACACGGAGTACCAGTAACATCCGCGATGTCCGCGGTGGCGAATTCAGCTGTTCCTGTGAACGCGGTAGGAAACAGCAATGGTAACGAGGACTACAAACCGCCGGTACCACCGCACAGGAACACGGGGGTAATCGTACGGCTACCGGAAACTCCGAGAAAGCATCGTTACAGAGCGTCGAGCGACAGCGCCGGCGGAAATCATGGGAACAACCAGCGGCACAGCAAGCAGATTCATCATATCAAGCCACACGGTAAAACTAAAGTAGGTAGTCCTAAAGAGAACGGCGCGGAGGAAGAGGAGTTCGTGGAGCTAGTGAATCACGATGACAACAGGCATTCCAAAGATGCAAGAGCGAGAGAGGTGAAGAGGGCGACAATCGTTGGTAATCCAATGTTCTCGTCGTTTTCAACGAATGCAGTCGCCTCGTCGATGAACGTCTCCAGTCCGACTGTGGCCTCGTCGTCCTCGTCACCGCCTAACTCGTCGCCGTCCTCTTCCTCTTCCTCTTCCTCGTCGGCGTCATCCTCCGCGTCCTCGTCTCACGAGCAGGAGGAGTCGGTGGCGTTGGATGACCTGAATCTTGGCATGGACTACAACCAGATCATGCAGTACTTCGACAACCTAAAGGAGTCGAACGCCTAGGTAAAGGCGTTCGGCCTTGACGAAGAAGGCCGAATAGTCAAGATCGATGCGAAACCCCGGAAACATCGTTGAGAACCGTGGCAAGTGGACGAGCCCGGCCTCGTTCTCCGCTTCCTTTCTCGCCGTGTAGCAGACAAATTCGCAATGGAGAACTACGATGGCCGAGCTCGACGCACGTTTCAACCGACGCTCCGTACGTTTCGTATTTTAGGCTATAATCTAGTCAGCTTCCTAGCAGCACATCAAGAGTATCGCGCAAACGCATGGACACGAGAACAATGTACACCCGTAAGTACGTACATGTAGAAAGACAAAACGCGACGTGCGAGATATAATACGATGAAAGAGGCGCGCGTTTTATCACTGTCGAAGGAAAACGCTCGTTCTCTGTTACACATACGTAATAATGCATATTCGCGACGAAAACACACACTGGCTCCGTACACAAACATAGTCATACACGCGCGCACATGCTTTAAAAAAAAACGTGTGGCTGCCGACAGGCCGAGGCGGGTTAGGTGGATCGTACATTCGACGAGCAACTGGGTTCTCATCTTTTTCATTCCAGTGACGATCGATCGACCAGCGATCCTCACTTCCGTCTCCGTGCGCTATTGATCTCTCGCTCAAATCCTTTCCTTGCGGCGATCGAACGAGCTCTCGCCCTCGTTCTCGTTCCCGCCACGCGACAGGAGCACATTCACCGAAAAGTGGCCGGACAAAAACCAACCCTTTTGTCTCGGGATCGATCCTCGGCTTCGATGGCCATGTTCAAGCACGGACAGCTTGTCCTTCTTTTTTATTCGTCTTTCCGTGGCTTTTGTGTTCGTCCACTTTCCTATCCATCGTCGAGGTCCCTAACGGAGAAAGATAATACTTCTACTGTTTTTTTTTCTCCCTCAAGGCTTTCGTCGCTTTTTATTTTTAAACAGTCGCTCGTCGAGCCTTCCCGGCAGTAAATTCCGGTCGCCGGGCTGGAGATCGATATCGGGGTGAGTAGAACAATGTCAGGTACCAGGGCCACTTACTTCTCCAATCTACGCCAGGGGAGACGTAATATTTATTCGATCGTCCGTACGTCGTATGATGTTTGTAAATTTTGCTTTGTAAGACTGTGTACATATATATATTATATAATATATATACCGCGACCTAGCGCATGTTAATTACGTACCGTAATAGATTATGTACGAAGTTACATTTGTATGGCAAACTCTATCTACAGAGTAAACTGAAACGTGCGTATCTAATCGCACGACGTCGGAGACGAGCGGAAACACGAACTTGGCCCGTGCGTTCCATTTTATCTATCAGCGTTTCCCGTCTATTCTAATCTATCTCGTTTTTTACGAACCTTCTCACGCACTCCGGAGTCACCTGTATTACCATTCTCTAAATCTATAAACGTGTCACATTCTATACATGGCTATGCAATAGTCAAGAAGTTTCGCATGTGCCTACATCTTCATGTTCTATGTCTAATTTTTACGGTACATATCAAGTTTTTTCAATTCGATGAGAATATTATTAAATATTGGATTCGGCTCAGAATAATACGATCTTAGTCTGACGAAAAGTAATTGTTTTTCAAATTTAAAACAATCAATTTGACGATGCGCAGACAATTTAAGTAAACTGCGCCTCGTACGAAGAGCGAAACAAGTAAGATTTAAAGGAATTTTTAGAGAAGGCTTAGTTGCGTGGATTTTTCGAAAATATACGAACTGTAAAATGGGAAACGCTAATCTCCTAGAGCTCGCATCGGCCCGAAACGCTGCTCCGTAATTGCTTTTAATTACCGTTCACCCTATCGATTGGATTGCGCAATAATAATTGTCCACGTACGTGCCACCGGCTGCGAGTTTTAAAACGCATCGAGAAACCTCGGGGCACGTGCTTCCTCGCAAATCGCATCTGTGCCATCGTTAATTACATCGTAGAAGACGCGCCCTCGTCCACGTTCGAACATATACGTATTATATATATACACATCTACACTCGAGAGAAAGAGAGACTGGGATGGTATGAGTGTTTTGCGTGAGAGAGAGAAAGACGAGCGAATGAAAAAGGGAGAGAGTGAGAGAGAGAGACATTTGCATAATACACGCACACCTCATCAGCTTCGTTCTTCCGCACCGATTTGATTTCCTCCTGCGAATCCAATCACGCTAGATAGCAAGCTGATCCGTAATCAGAACAAAGTATTTTTTATCCTGTTTAACGCTAACGTAAAGGTTCTAATTGTTGCGAGACATTTGAAATGAAACTCCCTTTTCTTAGAACTTTTTGAGAATGATTGATTATTTATTTCTATTTCTATAAAACGGATGGAGTGACTTCGAGTTCCTCCTTTTTCATTAATAGATAGTAGATTGTCTAGGTATATAAAAAAGACTTGAGTTAAACGAACGACTCATTCGTAGGCGATCAGCCATACAGGTGTGCAAAGATCGAAGCAATTCGATCAATCAAGACCGATGGATCTCTAAACGGATCATTCTATCTTATATAGGCATCTAAAGACTACGTGTCTAAGTATGTATGTATCTGTAAGTTGTGTGTTAGCATGTCAAGCGTGGGACATAGTGATGTAATGCTGATGAACAGAAAGAAATTAAGAAGAGAAAAGACGCTCGAACCGGCGTCTAGAGCGTCGAGGCCCTTCGACATGAGCCATGCACGTTGACCCTCTGCGGCTTCGGCAAACGTGATGTTTTATGTTTATTATAATTATTTTCCTTCTAGGTAATTGGCAAACAAAAGATGGAAGAACTATCGATTATATAAATTGACATTCCGTTAGCTTTGAGTTCGAAAGTCATATCGCGAGAGTATTTATTCTTAAAGGGAACCGCAGGGGGTTAAATGGTGCTGGACGAAACGTAAGATACCCCGCCGAGAATCTAGTCTTATAGCGTAACTAATGCATTAATTAATTAAATACTAATGAACGCGAAAAGCGATCTACGTTGCCTTTCGCCCGACTACATGTATTCTCGAATCGCGTCTAGCGGGGTGAAGTGGCGTCGTTTTCGCGGCCCTGCCCCGTAATCATTCGTTTCCTTATTCCTCGTGGAGTACCGAGAGACGACTCCGCTTAACCGAGATCGCGGGACGTTAAACGAATCAATCATATCGAGTATCATGAGTGAGAGACACGCGCTAATTAATCCTAATTAATCTCGTACGCCAGGGAATCTCGTCCCACGGGTTGCGGGCGAAAGAAAAACAGGTAACAAGAATTAGAGAGGAACACGTGGGGCGAGCGGTCCCCCGCAGAGCCGGACAAAAATAGTATTTAACGATAGAAAATAGTGGTGAGCTTGCGAAGCTGTTTCACGCGAAACGAACGCTGTTCTGAATGTTCGCTTGCCGCGATGTTTAAAAAAAGAAGAGATGAAAACGACAAACAAAAGCGACAAACGCCTCCGATTCACCGTTCATACTATCAACGTACAAACGATCTTAACAGTTACTATTTTTTACTTATAATACTATTGCCTCCAGCTCTTTGGCTACGGCCGAACACTGTATATATACACGCTCATCTTGTTGTTTTCTCATTTAAAAAAAGAAAAAAAAAAGAAACAACTCGCGTGAAAGGAACCACGGCGTTCCGTTTTCAGCTTCCGCTTAACTGGCAATTTTGTTCGCTCGATCATTTCCCCTCACGTCGCGCTATAGCGGAAGATGCAATGTCACTTAACAAGTAAGAAATACGGTTCATCTCGCGTTAATACATGAAATTTCATAAACAATTACGCATACACACTCTCGGGAAAAGTTTGTTTAACGCGAAATAAAATTCTACTCTGTTTCTCAATGCGAGAACGGTACACGAAAATGGGCAGTGCCCTATTTAAGCAAGTCGAAACTGCCGGTCTCTCTTTTCTCCTTTTTTTTATTTTTGATAAGTTCCCACCGATCAGGGAGGATTATATTATAAATATATAAATATATATATATAAATATACATAATATTGTAATAGAATATCGTCGCAATGCTAACTCTGCATTCACACACATTCCTCAGACACCGATGTCGCTGTATCTACGTTAAGTGTGATAAATGCGGATAAATGAATAGAGAAACGATTGATGAGGCGCCGACGGCAATCGACGACGGCGGCGACGAAACGCGACGAGGACGGCGGTGACAAACACGCGCGTCCACGACGACGATGGCAATAATCGACGATGCTCCCCGCGAACCGTGATTTCTTCGCTGTTCAACTGTTTATCTAATCTAACTATCGTTCTTCGTAGCTAGCACGGATTTCATCGGTCACGTTTCTCCGCACCTTATCGAACATTCTGTATATTTATTGTATTAAAATAACGACTGCCATTATTCTATCTCGATCATCGTTGCTGTTATTGTTACTGTTATTGAGATTGTTGTTGTTGCTGCTGCTGTTGTTATCGCTGTTTTCGATGCGTTTCGCCCTCATCGTCAATGTTTTGTCGTCGTGGTGGACGTCGGCCATCGCCATCGGCGTCGGCGTAACTGGTACGCTAACTAAACAATAAGATACGACTATCGCCTACTCAATGTACAATATGTAGTATTTACCTGTTGTTACCACCAAACCGTCATCAAAGATATATAAAATATTGTAATTGTAACACATTGTCGTTTACTACATATTCTAATCGCTTCCCATCGTTAACGAATCCGAACACTATTCAACTCTTTAGGAAAGGAACTACTGGAAGAAGGTAGGTAAACATTATTGCCATAATTCTTTATTCAATAAAGGAACGAGACTACTTCACGTATCACATTGTGATTTATTCACGAGTACATATTTACATTCTTATGCGTCCAAAGTTAGACATATTCGTTAAACCATCGCCTGTCGTACTTCGATATCCAATAATGGGAACCGAGCATATTGTTTTGAATAATATACTTCCAGGTATATGGGTTTAGATTTTCTTCTTCTAATTTTCTCTTCTTTTCAGCCATTTTCTCCATTATTTCTTGGCTAACTGCCATTGCATCGAAAGGTAGCCTTTTTGCAATATTGTTAAGCACGTATTTCACCTAAACAAATTATTTGGGATTTGATTCATGTGTGTAATATATAAAATGTACGCTATAGTCAAATCGTTTTGATACCTCATAATATTCGGCTTTCCCAGCAACCTCGATAATAACTTGCCCCGCTTTTACTGGCGTTACATAATGATCTATACTTCCCTTGCCACCACCCATTCGTGTTCCTTGACCCTGTATGGAAAACCATAAATTATGAGTATCACTCCTGCATTAGAATACAATTTTTAAATAAAGATATACTTGTTAAAGGACCTTTTTAGTAATAGGTTGCCAAGGATCAGGAACCCTCCAGATCGCAAATACCTTATTATAGTCTACCTTCCTCAGAAGTGTCATACGAATCATCTCAAAATTATTGTGTTTCAGTCTACCACCTCCTGTCGCCTAAAACATTTTTGTTTATATGCAACTCTAGAACCTTTTCTGTGGATTTCTGTTTTAGTCTCCCTTCTCTTACTATTATGCCATATTGTTTGTGTAAAAGGGTATTATGATAGAGTTCAGGCCCACGCATCAACCTTAATCTTTTTTGTGTTCTATAAGGAACTACATTTCCTCCATACTGTGGTACTTTTTGCGCAACTTTAAGTCTAGTACGTTGAGGGATTTCAATATCTATAAACATAAGTACATACGTCTCTTAAAAAATGGTTCATTCCTTTCCCTTACGTGTAATTACAAAATCAGATACCATCGTAATAAGGTGGTGGTTCAAAAGATTTTACTCCTGCTGCTGGTATTGATTTAAAAATACATTTTGCTATAACAAAAATGTTAGATTAATATGACATAATAATAACGTATTTAAACTCAAATCTCAAGAAGATACTAAAACTTACGGGATAGAAATAATTTTGTGATATTCCTATATACTTGCATCATAATGATAGCTTCAAAATTATTTTACTGTTACAAATGCTGAGATATAATACTCTTCCTCAATATTTTTGCCAATGAACCTCCTTCGCTTAGTTTTATCTATAATTATGTAATTCGATCTGGATATATTATTTGTAGGGCAAAATTTGGAAACTATTCAATAGAATTTAATTGTTTCTTACTTTTTTTTATCACAATAACATTTACTTAAACAAAAATTATTTTTTAAGAACCAGTACAAATACTAATAAACATACTGATTCATAGAACTACAGAATCTAAGGTAGTTTACTCACTGGCGAACGAACACTATCAACTAAAAGCCAGAACGTTACTAGGGAATACGATGGCCAATGAAAAACCGCGGCTGAATTAATAATCTCTAGCTAGAATCTAGAATTTACTCTATACACTGGCATACTTTATAATAATTTTTCAATGACTGTTTCACTGGTCATCGTTTTAACAGCTGATTCGAGAAGGAGCAAGTAGAATTGTCAAAATATCATTGAAAGAATTGTACTCTGTGTTTTGTTTGATTTTCTGACTTTAAGTGCCTTGGATATTGTATACGTTGTAATACTAAACGCAAATATGTACTGTCGACGCAAATGTCTTGGAGGAAATGAAGCTCCGATAAAAATTGAGCTGTGTTACATGTACACCCTTCAGCTTTATTTTCGTCTTTTATCGTGCCACCTGTGAATTATGATACATTGAATGTTATAACTTTGACAATGACCGACAACGATAAAATGTTTGCTTGCTCTTCCTCTGGCTGCAATATGGTAATTAATAATTCTACTTCAAACAGAAATCTGTATTCATTACAATATAATATTTATTATTGTAGAGCTTCACGAATGAAGACCAGCTAACAGTTCATAAGAAGAAACATGATATGATGTTAAACCTTGGGAGCAGTAACAAAAGTGGTGGCTTTGTTGGTAAAAATTAATCTTTAATTAATAAAGTGTACATAAAGAGATAAAATAAAAGAGAACACAAGAAACTTTATAATTTACAGCTGATCAAACACCCACACCAACACGTTTTATCAGGAATTGTGAAGAGGTTGGTCTGTTCCAAGACTTACAGAATGTGAATCCCTTTGAGGAAACCTTCAGGAGAGCAGTAGAGTCAGGAAATACTGGTACTCTTACAGTATCAGAGGTAAATTATTGATTAAGTTATTTTTAAATGCTTTTCTAATAGTCCCATCATTTAAGTAATCTTCTAGGCTGGAATTGCAGATGATAGTCTGCATACACCACACATATTTCCTCATATAGCTGATGTACTGTCTACTAGTAATCAAATGCTACCAGAGAACTCTGTAGAAGAATGCGGAAGCATCGTGATTACCGATAAAACTACCCAGGATAAAACTATTATAGACACTGACGTCTGCACAACGGTGAAACTTACGGAAACGGATGAACAGGGTTTGCTGAAAGAAAAATTGACGGTCGAGCGGAATGTGACGTTAACAGAAAATATCATCGATCCTGTTACACCTTTACTATCGAAAGATTCACAAGACCCGCAATTGTAAGTAAATAAATAATTCTTGAAATTATCGATAAGTCCCTGAAACTCTTAAATGAAATGAGGATTCCTTTTAAGAACGATTAATGGCGAGGAAGTGCAGTTGCTGTTGAAAACAGCGGGTGGAAAATTAATGCAATTATCTGCGATCCCGGTTTGCGACCCTATCAATGCAGCTAATGTACAGACGATGAGACAGCAAACTGTTGTCATAAAAACAGAACCTCCTGTGCATTATAATACAAGGACAGAACCGAAAAAAACGGGCTCTACATTTTCTCTAGCAAGAATGGTACGATAATCGAAATGAATATGTTTAAATCAATACTTTTTCCAGAGCTTATAGTCTCATTTAATTTTAGAAATTGAAACAAGCTTTAACTAAAGCTAGTGGCTCGCAAAATCAGAAACCTGCTAATACCAATACCGACAAGAACGAATTGACTAATTCAAGAAAAGAGAATAGGAATAAGACAACGGAAGATCCCGCAAAAAAGAAAGTTATGTTAGAACGCAATCGAGCTAGTTCTATGAGGGCGAGAGCAAAAAGAAAAGCATGGATACAACACCTCGAAAATACGATCTCTAATGCGAATGAAACAAACGTGGCTCTACAAATGGAAATAAAAGTCTTACGATCGGAGGTCGCTAAATTGAAAACGCTACTATTAGCCCATAAGGACTGTCCCGTAACGAAGGCGATGCAGAAAGGTAATGTAAAAATTATACGAACGATTCTTCGCCTTTTATTTATACTTCAAATTATATTTTATAGGAAACAGTATAGTGCTTGGTACTAAAATAGTATCCGTAAACTCAGACAATGCAACGAGTCCGATTCCTGCGATGAAAAGGACAAATTTCTCTCCTTCGGAAGTGCCAATAATGCCCAAGAAAAAGTCGTCCTCGGTGACCACGAAGAATCCCATAATTTTTCCAAAATTAGACAATACAAATCTATCAATTCCCAACACCACGTTGATTAAAACTGTGCCTACGTTAAAAATAATGGGAGTCGGACAATTGTTAACAGAAAAAGAAGAGGGGAAACAAATTTTTATTGTACAGAATCCACCGAAGAAGATTGACGGTTCAACCAGACAAGTGATTCAAATAAATCCCAATTACGAAATTGATCAGAGAGAGTTGATAAAAAAATAAATGTATTTCAATGATTGTAGATATGTGCAAATTTTGCTCAAACAGTGTAAAAGACAAGAATCGTACGATGATCGTCAAACGATCGCAGCCATTTATTTTTTCTCAAACAAAAGCATAATCTACATATATGATTTGTTATTGCGCGTGATTGCATGCGTACAGCGTAAAACAGAAATCTCGTATTACAATCTTTATTAGAATAAAACTCCGTATTTTTTAACAAAGTCTCTCGTATTTATTTACCCTAGTCACTCCTCTAAATTTTTAAGGCAAGGAACATTTTCATTGAATATATTTCAAAACTATTTATTGTGCACACAAAAGATTACAGAAAATTCGAAAGAAATTCTTGATATTGATGAAGGTCCACAGCTGTCGTCCACAATGGTCTCACATGCCCCACGATGATTCTGTGACCCTCGGGCCCTTATCAGTTCTCCGTCCAGTCGTCTAACAATCCTACACCGGACAGGAGAATGATAAGGGGCTTTGGGCACGAAATGTTTAGACTCGAAGCTACCAAAAACTCGTTCACGCTCCACCATGTCCGCTACATGTTCCATTTTCCTGTAGATCCTGAAAACGAATACTATTGTATCTAGCCCTAATCGTAGTTTCCCTCCAGTGATATCGATTCTGTTTTTTCCACTTTTGTTTCTATGCTTCCTCCTCTTCTTTTCTTCTGTTCGATCGAATGAATTAGGAGTATCGATAGGAGATGCAAGTAATTGACAATCTGTTTCCGTACTAAGCAGTACTCGTGCTTTATCACATTGTTTTATCTAATCGTCGGAGAAATTTCTGTTTGTACCCTGATTACATGAAATGTGTCGAGCTAGCACGCGCGACGGATTCTCGTGACAGTTTGTCTCGCAACATCGACGAAAACTTTAAACACTGAAGCTTATTAAGATTGTGGTAATACAAAAGATATGTTCTTATTCAGTACGCACTACTCTGGGTATTCGGATTTGTTTACGTATTTGAAAATTAAGAGCAAGTATAATCTGAAGTATAAACGCTCCACACGATATCTGAAAATATAAAAAGGAAGATTAGAAATCTTTAATAATCTACTCGCGGGTACTGTATAATTTGTCTCAAGCGAAGTGATTTATCGGAAGATAAGAGTTCTGTTGAACAGGCTGTACTTTGTCTGCGAGTTTCTTTCCTCGAAGGGACGCGGACAACGGTTGGAAGAGGAGATATCGAACATCGAAGAGACGCGTTGAAAAAGGTCTGCGCTTTTTCGACAAACAAGATTTCCGTCCCTTGAGTCACGCCAGTGAGTCACGCGTGTCCAGAGCACAACGAGCCAAGTGAGATGTAACTGAATTATCGGTTACTCGGTAAATATCAACGGCTTTCCTATGCCGATAAGCCGGTTCGATAGCGGAAAACAGCAAAAGATAACTTCTTCCTGTATTCAAGAACAGGCTTATCGTTTATGAAGACGTAGCGCTCTCCTGTTGCTTCTACAGATATATTGAGACGTAAACAATAAGAAAGATAGCGAGAAATATGTATATCGAGAGAATGTACGAGAGACAGTATCGTGGATTGGTAATAAGAGAAACGCAACAGAGTGCTTAATTATCGCGATACCTTTACAAATAAACAGATAACATGACGTTCGGTATCGCTAAGATTTCCTCCAAGACGAAACAAATTATAATTCATAAACTATAAACAATTAATAAAAATGCATGAGTTTAAAAAGTGAACTTTTATAATGGGGGAACATTGACTTGTTGGCTCAACTATTAAAACGCCTCATGAATTTGTACCCTAGTAGCGATGTCAACTAGGCGTTTCGTTCTCCTCACGCTTGCTTCCTACTTCTAACTTGTTTCGACAGAAATAGATCTCGTCACCCCTCGCGATCTCCTCGACTTTTGCACGGCACTGAATCAAGCTTGTGTGGCTATTATTCAACGCAATCTTCTAACCTTGGTCCAGACTAGCCAGTTTTTTTTTCATTTTCGATGCCTACAGGGATTCACGACCGTGGAGTCCGCGAGCTGCATATATAATCCTCAGAAACCAGTGGATTAACACGGACTCGCGTTCACCTTGCATGTCACCGAAGCCTCGGAGATTCCAATGCCTCGCTTTTTTATTGGTTCAATCATTTTTATATTACTCAAGGGACAAAAGAATAATTCTTGTTCACAAGCGAATAATTTGATTTTTGATATTTTACAGTAAAAACATCAAAGCAAGAAATTGGAAATGTAAAAGAATGATATAAAATGTATACACTTGAAGAAGAAAGGAAACTATTGTATCCTTGGATGAAGAAATTTCAATTGGCCCTTCATAGATCAGAAATAAATAGTAGTTTGTGAGTTAGACAAAAAAATCGTTCAATAGGTTTCCTGTTAAGCATTCTCGGAAAAACCGGGTATACATGTAACCCTGTAAAGAGATTGCTTTTTATGGGGTTTCCAGCGATCAACGGCCCGACTTGACTTAATTGATATCGATCTCATTGTTTTGCGTCAGCAGCAGTGAATTCAGAAATCAGTAGCTGAGCGTCCAGTGCGTTCTACTTCGCCACTTAAATTTTTTTACTGATTTTAAACTTTATAGCAAACTTCATTCATATTGTTAACCCGAGAGAAGTTACGATACAATTACAAGTAAATTTTGAAGATAGTAAAAGGCGAATAACAATGTTAAATATAATAGCAGATATAAATTAAATGTCTCAGCGTCACTGCACTTCGTTCTCTAAGTTAATCGAAAGTTTTCAAGGCTTCAGCAGACGAATTCTGTTGTGCTAGATAACTACACGTTATCTATCGAAAGTTACGTGATACCTTGCCTCCTAAGACCTAGATTTACTTTAACAGTATGAAACCGTTTAGAATGCAGATTAAAAAAAAAACTACGTTATTATGTCTCAATTTTCAAAATTAAATTATGAAATGAAGAAACAATTATATATTTTATTAAATAATCATAAATGCTTCTTTCTCGATTAAGCAAAATGTTTAAGTTTCGGCATTGAATTCTGAACGCAGATGATTTCAATGGATTTCATCGATGAAGGAAAACCTATTTGAAAAAAATTAATAATAATTATACACGACGCCGAGGGTTCGCTCAGAAGCACCGTAGAGAAAACACGTGGTCCGAGCACACGTGTTTCGGAGCGAGTTATGAAAAGCTAACATTAGTATGGGAATTCTCCTTGAAACAAATATTTCACGAAAACCTACGCACATCGTATGGTCAGAATCAAATAAACGTTCTCTGCACGCGATCTCTAACTTTGACGCAACCGATCCTCAGACAAAACTGTAACAATGTACGGGGCAAGAGAATGCTGCCGCACACCACACGGATGTTTATGTTCCTTCGAGTTGGTCGGACCCTTCCAAAACGAACCTCAGAGAATTTTACGCGCGACCGACCTTCTCGTTTGATCTTAGCCGATATGCTTCTGTTGTCGGTTCTTGGAGAGCGATTGTACACATAAAATACGGAATCGAAAACGAATGAAAAGCCGTACCGCTTGGCAAGCGATGAACAGTTTCGTCATATTCGCGCGGGGTAAAGATTTTTTGGCTACGTCCAATGGACGAGACATGTACGTCTCAAGAGTTTAAGTATTAGTATGATACGTTTTATGGGATAAACGACAATGGAATTATAATAAAAAAAATACGCGCGTGCATTCGTACCAGAATGTGGATGATGGGTGATGAGCCCGTGATTTACGCCCCTGGTTGAGACAATATGCGACCCGATAGCCTTGAGACACACGTCTGCTTCCTTTTTATTTTTACATCTGACCCAAGACAACGACACTCTCCCGTGGCACAAACCTCACCGTATATGCCCTCTGTTTTCCCTCGCGATTATATTCTCCCAGAATTCCCACATCCACAATACGGTGCATACATGCATGCATAAAATACTCTCGCCGCCCGGCAACTATCCTCGAAAAACGGACCTTCCCATTCGATGGTTCGCGCGCTACTGCCGACGACACCACCACCGCTCCGACAAATCTTATTTTCCAATAGATGGAACGAACGCACTACCACCACGCGACTACCGCACAAAGAGAGACAATGAAGAAGCTCCCTGACGACCGCCTCTACGTTCTACACACCGTGTATGCAGACTGGTCTTTGACCGGTCACATGGCGCGAACCGGAGAGCGACCGATCGATCTGCGTCCAAAATACCCTGTAGTTCACCCTCTCCCAGTTTCTCTCTCCCCGTGTTACGTCGCCCGGCTGCTGGTTGGCTTGGGTCCGCGCGCGTCTCGTTTCCACTCCGAGAGATGTACCGAGTAGGTAATTCCTCTTCGCGTGTTGGCTCCACGTTTCCTCGGGCTGAAACGATATCGCGCGCACATTACCGAGCCGACGACTGCACGCCGCACATTGCTGCTGCTGCTGCTGCGTGCGTATAATCCCGAGAAAAATGGGGAGAGAAAAGAAGTAGACCGCAGGGAAACACGAGAGGGAATCTTTTCCTCCCTTGCTAGTGGCGTGCACAAGAGAGAAACTCGAAAGCAACAGCAGCAGCAGCACAGAGAGGATCAATCATCGTAGTCCGAATGCTGATGTAACAGAGAAGTGAACTGGTCACTCGCGTATTCGTATAGCAATAATTACCGCCGCAACGCAATGAAGAACACGCGTCACGAAATGCGTCTCGCGCACTACTGAGCGATCTGACGATGATCGGATTCGGACGTTGCAGTCCGACCGTATTTCGTGCTGGTGAGGGGGAAGGAAGTGATGATGCCGTCTCTTTCTCTCATCTTCTGGTACTCGCTTCTGGTCTCCGTCGGGTTTACGCACGTGGCGCCATCTTTTAGTTTCTCACTCTCTCTCGGCTCTCATGTTCGCTCATTCTCTTCTCCACTGTTCCCTCTCTCCCTTCTTTCTGTCTATCTTATTCTGTTGCTCTCTCATTCCGTCTCCTTTACGCGAGCCTCGTGCGTTCATTTTCAAAGATGCTTCAGAAAACTTGTGAACTTTCCTGTGGAGACTTTAGAATTTTGCTTATGGAAGAAAATATGATTAGCCGCGAAACGACTGATAAGATAAGAAACGGACTCCATTGAAGAACAATTTTTAAATGCTACAATTTAATAGATTTGACGCCCGCTATTCCAAATTGCAAGTTTCAGAATGAACAAAGAATGTAGGAACGACGTGGAAATTTGCGCTTTCCGGCGACTTGTCGCTCGTACTCGATTATGTTTTCCGTGGTTACTACCACGTCCGCGATTTTAATTACGTATTTAGACCGAAGCTGCCTCTTCCTGATGATGTCCCTTCGGGCTAATTAAAAAGCGCCTCGAGTGACTCTTAATTCTGGTGGATACTCGCCAGGAGTTCGCTTTTCATCTTGGAGACCGCGTTTCTGGCAATAAAGGGTTACTACGTTGGTTTAAGTACACAATTGATGGCGAAAATCGTAGCCAACTACGCGACGAGGACCAAACGCGTGCCGTTGCCAAGCGCGGCGGCAGAAAGGAGACAGGAACAGGATCTTCTATTTATTCTGCTTCTTTTTTTTTAATGACCCAGTGATACGGATTCGAGGATCGCGGCGCAAATTAGAGGGTAAATTAGAAAACGTTTCGCGGGGGAAAGGTAGGAGAGCAGAAATGCAAGTACGGCGAGCAGCTAACCGAGAGGGTGGTAAGCAGATACTAACACCGGTTCGCGAGTGATTCGATATCGGGGAGCGGCATTAGCCTCGAATTAATTCCTGGAGACTGCTGGGGGATGATTCCCCATTACCAGCGTGCAACGAGCAGCGGCGGAGTGTTCCGCCTTAAAAAGAATACCTAGGCCTCCGTCTCGAATTGTCCGGAGGAATTGCTTCTCGCTGCCGCCCCTTCTTCTCCCCGACCACTTCTTTTTCGTCGTCCCCTATCCGTCGCAAAACGAATTGTCTGAAAAAATTTTAAAAGAATCCTGCTCTGCGTTTCTGCGAGCATTAAACGTTCGGCAGAATATTCACGTGCCTCTCGATAATCTACGAGCTACTGAAAAATCCTGCTACAATTAATCACTTCATAATTAACCGGGAAGATACTTCAATTACTTGCATCGGTGGTTTTACTCTAATGAACTTCCGAGCCGTTTTGTTACATTGCTTTTACGATTACCGAACGTCCTCCAATGAACCTAGACCGAGTAAAAAAGGAAAAAAAATCCAATTAAGCGAGACGGTTAATCAGAAAATTTTCTACTCTTGTTTAGAAAAGAATCTTACAAGGCTTGATTTAATACATCAGGAACTACAGTGTGTTGTCAGTTATAGCATTTTTTTTTTACGGACCTCGTTTTCTATTTGGAAAATCCAGAGAGGAATGACAAAGGTCAGCAGTATGCAGTTACCATAAATGAAGGAGCAGGAAAATCCATGAACCAAATATATACTTAGGTTTCGTAGTAAAACATAATTACCCTTGAAAGATTTTCCTAGACCAACCGGCCTTCGGGGCATTTCCCAGTTTTCCATGCATAGCTGAGCCTCGTCCAAGAAGGAAATAAACGCTGACCATGGCCGCACGTGTTTGCACAAAGGCCTTTCCCAAGTAAACCGTTTTGTTGCGAACCGTTTCAGTGGACCCAAAGCTGACTGGCCTGACGTTCCATAAGTAGAGGACTAATTATATTCCATGGCCGGCGACCTTCGTTCACGTGGCCAGCTGTTTTCTGGATCTGTAAACGATCGAAAGTAACACCGTTGAATAGCGCTCTCAGCATCCCGAATAGTAACGGTAGTATTAAAAGACATTATATTAAGATAAAGCAAAACGGAATGTGAATGAGTTGAAGAGAGTTGAAAAATAATGTCTCTTCCGATTCATTGATACACCGCGTAGCCCGAATTGAAAGGGACAGAGATCGACACACACAGCTTGGTGCTGTGCTTTGAGCCTTTTTCCAGCTACAGATAATGTTCGGAAACGATTCGAAACCGGGTGATGACTGACGCGATTGAAAAATTTATAACAGCACGCGTTGTATGTTTGCGCGCGTCGCTCCGCGTCATTCCAGGATGAGAACGATGTCGGTGAAAAAGAAGGGGACACGGAAAGAGGAGAACGGAATGGAGGCGGCAGTGAAACATTGTGGACGAGATAAGGTTGGAATTTTCTGGGCGGATAATGTAAAAGCCCAGGCTACTCGCTGTGTTCGTTATAATAATCGCGAATGGGAACAGAACGGACTTTTCATCTCGTGTAGGTTTGGAGAGATGACAGGAACGAATAAAAGTCAACATTAAAAGAAAGAAGGGAAATGTACGATCGTCGAGATGGTACGAAGAGAAGCGCAAAAGTTGTAAAGAGGATAAAGAAAATATCAGGAAATAAACGATCGCTGACCGTATTTGCGTAATGTTTCAACGAATACCGACGTATGTATTGCACACGCTGCACATTTTAATTAACCTATTCTGCTTTCCAAGCCGGCAGTTGGGAATGTAATTATTTAACTTTCGGCACATCTTCCATTCGCTTTCCCCCGTTGAATAATTAAAACTACTTTTTTCTTCGCACGCGTTTAGCGTCGCACCACCGCCTGTATTCACGGCTTTGCTGTATCCTCACCCCAGTTTACTAAAGCCTTAACTCCCGTATTTTAGTTAACGAAATTCGGCTAAACCAAAAATAGTGGTAAATTAAGCCGAGGAACGTGTACCCAATTGTAAATTAATTACCGCAACTTTACCACCGTACACGCCATTAATCATATAATTTCGTACATTATACCATAACGCATTATGCTGTAGAAATAATGATGTATGTAATATCAAATATACGTACAATGAGTATGTGCTATAAACACATATATACACATATAAACACATATATAATACACATAACTACATACTAGACTTCGAAGATCGAATATCGAGATGAATTAGAAATCCAAATACATATTTAGTTTACATTCTATGTATGAAGAAGTTTGTAAATCAGATACCAAAGTTACCACCTATTCGTTTCTAAATAAAAAACGATGATAAGAAATCAAATAAATCAAGGGGGCAGTTAAAGCATACCCGAAACGTGAGACCAGGGCTAAAAGAAGGTTCATCTTCAGGGCGTGGTGTTTCGAATTGCCAGCAGGAGGGTCAAGGTTAAACCTTGAGCCCCATATGCACACACAACGATCGTTGTGTGCGTTTACCCTGCTACATTTTCCTTTCGCACCCTCTGCCTACACACGTCGTTCGATCTCTCTCTTTCCTCCTCGTTCCTGCCCGCTCCTATTTGTATCGTCTTTTCTTTTTCTTTCGCTCTCGCGTCGGACCTTCTGCAGCAAGAAACGATCGAGCCTGTCACGGTGGTGGATAGGCGATGGTTTCGCATCCCCTGTCTTCGCTGAGCGTATCCTCTATCTATCGGATTCTATTTACGGCGGCATATATGGTCAATGTCCGGCATGTTGGTTATTTGGTCAATCACTACCGATACAAATAGAAATCTTTTTATGCAAGTCTCGAGGGCGGAAAAAAGATGTGGCTGTGTAACGACGGAGCAAATCAGGAGGAAGTTAATTTCGTGTACATCGAAAGATCATTTCCTCCAGTCTCAACGAAATTACGTACAATGTCGACGGTCATTTCGGAGAAAACGAATTCAAATCCCAAAGAGGTACGACTTTATTTTATTTTAATAATCGAGCCTGTGACTACACGATAAACGTCTCTAATGGAAGATTTAAAGATCGATTGGTCTTTTCTCCCACAGCGGGTGTTTAAATTCCATATTATATTTCACTTTTAGTATTTAAGTTTACTTAGGAACTCCGTCGAGATAAACAGATTTCATTAGCGAAAGTTAAATGGCCGGGGAAAGTTTCGAGCTGCTGCGACGACCGGGATAGTTCACCTAAGTGTTAAACTAGGAGATTTCTTTCCACTGTGATGCTTCTTTAATTCGTTCAAAGGTGTGTGCTGCCGCAAAGATCGCCAAATTCGATCTTCAAGGCTTCTCGCGTCTCCAAGATCAACAGAGTCCCAAGGGACGCGGATTTCTCGGTTAATGACGCGTAAATTCGGTCCCACGATACCGCCACGCACTGATTACGATAAGAACCGTGGAGAGTAACGTCGATTTCCCAGACCGATACGTCATTTCTTAATGAGGCAGTCGGTGTCGTCGTGGAAGACATCGAATTTGAATAAAAAAACTGCAAACCCCACCCTTGAGACCAGCGTTCGGCAAAATGTTCGAATCATGAACAACCAATGAATTTCTGATCTTATTTGTATTCAAGTGCCAAATATGTTAGCACATATGTCATACATTTATGCACACAATGTATGAACGTTCCAATTTGTATTTCCTCATTTGCATCCTCAATTCCTCTTGAACAGATTTCAACTAGAAAATGTTTCAACTTTCCCATTTCCAGGCGAAATAAAGATATCGTCATTCCCTTGAATGCATTTATAGTTAGTCGCAGTGGATTTCGGTCGCAGAGTTATTTATACGCGGGACCGAGCCGAAGATAATTTCATAGGAGTTTTAGCGTTCGAATCATTTTGCGGAAGTTCTTTTATATCTGCTAACGTAAATCCGGCACAGGTGGTCTACTTTCCGAATTGAATTGCACTTCTTTTAATTCTCGCTCTCAACTATGTAGCCTGCATTATTACTTACTGCATTATCAATTGTTCACCCTGTGATACCTAACCGGGCAGAGTGTAAATCTTGCATCCTGGACGCAACGAGCCTTGCTGACTGCTAATTGAAATGTACGATCTATCTTGTCTGGTAATAATTACTGCGCGTGAAGCAGGACTCACCATTTGCGGAATAACACTCGAACCTGTGGCGGCCTACGACCGTTGGGAATTCCTTTTGTTATTTCAAACGACATCTTCGCTTTAACTCACTCCATTTAAACCCTTTTATCGACGTTCCTACTTGAGAGCGACAAATTGAATATTGTCTTGAAAACAGTCTCCCGTGTATTGTCGTATTCCGTAGTAGAAGCTTTATTAAATAACAATATAACTTTAGCTTGGAGGTAATGGGGTAAACGAATACGTAGATCCGAGTATGGCGAAAATATGGAAAGCATTAGAGAGAAAGAAAGCAGACAGTGACCGAAAATTAGTCTTTGCGCATTATGAACTCTCGTGACGGCGGGTATAGGACAACGTTTGCAAATCTGAGTTAAGGAGTAAATCAGGGGAAGAGAAAAAGTGAAGTCATAGGATGATGAATTTCGGTATAGAAGTATTGAAGATAATGAGTGTCTCTAACTATCGTTGGTATACAACAGTATTTTTTAAAAAATCGGGTTATTTTTTAGAGAAGTTCTTTACCATATGCGAACTTGAAGAAGTGAGCTGTAACTGCTGTAAGTTCAAGTTTATGTTACAATGTGGACTCTACTCTGAATATTTTCCATTTATTTACATACTAAATGCGTCGCATTATTTAATGCACATTGTAATTCATCATAAATGTATAAATGTTCTTGATTCTTCCTTTCCATTTTCTCAACATAAATACTCATACGAAAATTAAGGAATTAATAAAAGTACGTGAAGTAGAGACGAATTGTATGTTATAATTGTGGAGAAATAAATAGCATGGTAGGAATGAGGCAAGGTGAAACGAGTGCCTTTCAGCCAGCCATGTCGCGTCAGCTTCGACACCGGCAAATTGAAATTATTGGCGTAGCCCACCGCACATTACTGGCTCGTTAGCAAGATATCGCATTCGCGAGTCGGTCCACCCACTTTCCACCTGGCTCGCACGACTTTTTTCCTGCCTCCGATTCCGAGAGAGGCCTGTGGCTGCCGCTAGGCAGGTAGGTATTTTTGTACCGGCTCTCGTTTTCAACGGCTCCGCTGCCTCGTGCCACGAGAGGAGTGGAAAGAGAGAGCCGACGAATCGAGAAATTATGATTCATTAAGGACTAGATTCGGGACACGTTCGACGGTGTGTGATTTGCGATAGGAAACGTGTTCCGTTGAAACGAATGAGCGCGCGAGAAGAAGCGAGACGAGTGGAGGAGCGAGATAGAGAGAGAGAGAAACTCCTATTGAGAGATCGTGCTTTTTATCCGTTGCCTTTTTACCTTCACGGATAACAGAGAACGATAAAGGAGGGTGGCGGCTCCTTCTATCGTGATTAATTCAGCCTATGCGGTGGTGTCGCGATCCAGATCGGAGATCTACAACGTGCGGTAGTGAAATACTAGATTCTCGTAAAGCTATAGAACAAATTTTCTGTGAGATGTTTGAATAAAATGCGTTGCTTCTCGTTATCGGCGACTTGCTTGCTATCTCGATCGAACTTATCAAACCGCGAGAAACGTGGCGTTATACTTATCGCCCCGGCAATGTTAGATAACGAATGGGACGACGCGATGTCGCCTGGTAAATAGAGAGCGTTACACGATGTTTCAACTGAAAATCTGTATACTTCTTCTGCGATTTATCGTTGCGATGGTGTTAATTGTTCGTTTATCGCGACAAACGTATTTTTGTTATCGCTAATTGAAGTAGGGGAGTGAACGATTGGCAACAAATTCGAACGATTTGCACCTCGTCGCGGCCACTCGACGAATCCGTGTTGATTAATATTCGATCAATGTTTTTTTCCAATTAAACGTAACGTTCATTATAACGCGGCGGCAATTTTCTTCGTACCATCGATTATTTCGAATGAGCTCTGCCTACAGGGATATTT